AAATGCTTAGCTACACATTTTAGAAATGCATGTCCAGAAATGGTCAGTGCACCATTCTGGCTCTTTCAATAAATAGACACCCGCCTAAAATACTTTAGGGGCCAGATTCCCAGAGCCGGATTAAGCCTAATCCTTGACTGAAAACAATTTCCAGTGGTGATTCACTACTGGCACTGCACACAAGCCCAAAACCAGGCTTACTTCAAGAGGGAAACTCACCCCAAAATATGTTTATATATGTTATGATCATCCCAAACCTCAATAAGCAGCTTCCCTGATAGCAAGAGGACAGTGGGCCACTGTTGGCCCACTGATGGCAAAGCTGGTGGTCCATTGGCATTTTGCTCAGTGTTTTCCAGGCTGCCCACCGGTGGTCAAGCAGAGTATTAGACAAAATTCCACTTATTGTCACTCATTTTCCACTCATAGTCCAATTTACTGTTTTTTCCTTCCCTCGTTCTTTAGTTATACTTTGTAAATTAGCTTAATAGTAATAGTAATTTTAATCTAGCACAGGGTCACCAATATTTTGTCTGAGGGGATTAAAAACTAGTTAGACCTTGTATGGAGGACAGTAATCAGGGTGGTCTGAGGGTGGACCAGCAGGGGCATACAGTCAGCAGGGTGCCGACCTTATCGAGCCAGCGGACCGATATATGCTCACTATCTGGGTTGTTGAAGAATCCACTCACCAGTTCAGAAGAGAAGTGACAATCCAGGCCATGTATATCCAGAAGATCCAGTTCTGTAGATCTGTATCAGCATAAACTGGTTTATTTTAGGCAGCAAATATAAGCTGCATGAACGGATTATTAGCAGTGATTTCTGTGGCTTTTTAAAAGGAAATTCCATCGATTTTTCAACATGTCTATGTAATTCAAAGGTTGAGATGTAAACAAAGTTATTCCGAGTGGTTTGATGTGAAACAGCTCATTTTAGAAACTTACCCACTCTGATTTCTGTACAGTGGTGTTGAACCAGGGGTCACCATGACTACAACACAAATATAGACATTTTATTTATTATCTGAAATGACCAGTGAACCTACACGAGTCTTCTGAGTTTCTATGTGTAATGTTGATGATAAAACAGTGATAAATCTGAAATAAATTAGTTTCCTTTTGGGACTATTTTGCCTTACAGTGGCCTGCATGTCTCTCTCTGGCTGATATGACTTTGATAGGTTGATGCACAATCAACAAGCCATCCTCTCACCCAGTGGTCAGGGCTTGGTTTCCTGAAAGCATCTTAGCCACAAAGGTGATTAGGACTCAGAGCCCGCAATTTGCAAAACGGTAGGTCACTTCTAGCCTTCCTAACTTCAGAACGGTTTAAGGTACAAACATGATCCACATATCAGGACATTCAGCAGACCTGCCCCCAACTAGCAAGCATGACGGCATCGAGCTGTGACATCAGCATCAGTGGGTAACTCGGCTCGAAAATCACCTAAAATCCTGATATTAATGCTCTGCTTTTTTGGCCTTTATATTCCAGCAAAGGGTTAAAACAGCGACATGATTCACACATTAGACTCTGACCTCATCATCCAGAGTGATCTCATCCACCTGTGACCATCCATCAGCCAGAGATCCAGCTCCAAAATCACCCAAACCCCTGCTCGCTACTGTTATATTACACATGACAAATATTATTGTAAAATTAACTATATTTAGCTCTGTCTTTCAATTTACATTGATTTTGAGTATTAAAAATATCTGATATTAAATTTGCAACTCGGTTTGTAATTAAAAATAAAGCCTGTCTTGCTATGTATCAGTTTTAGCACTCAGCATGAATCCAAGAGGACAGAAAATCAATAAAAACATATCTGCCTTATGCTAATTGTTTTTTTTGCTCATAATAACCAATAGAATGAATCACCATCAAAATTCTTGCACTTTCAGCTCACAAACACTCCAGACTAACAATGTCTGAAAAGCTATCTGAGGTGCAACTTGTTTTCAAGATCTCTATAAGCAAAAAATTATTAAATTTTGCAGGTGCTAGGTGAATTTTTGATCAGAAATGACCCAAATTCATAAAGATATCAAATTTCTCTTTGCATTTACATGTCAAACAATAGCATATCTGAATAGCCCAGAGTCTCCTGAAAATAGCAACATATGGCCTGTGTGACCGTCCCATGTAAATACTTTATAATTGCAATCGTAATTGACCCAAAATACCAAAAAAATTCTAGGGTTCTAAAGGTTAAATAGCAGAGCAAGCATTACACCGAACACTCTCTCTACAAGTTATCTTAACCCTACATGCTTTTGGGAAACTGGGCCCAGATTCTGACCACAGAGCCGCTCTCAGCTGGATATTTGACCACTTTGACGAGTTTAAAAACTCCAGCACTCGTACCAGCACCACACACAAACATAGACCATGGAGTCTTGTGGTCAAAAACTGACCAATGATGGATGGGGTAGATGGGGGCTGATAAACTGTGCAGCAACAGATGTACGACAGTCTGTAATTGTAGCTTATAAAGTTGCAAACGAGTGGAAGTACAAGGTAGGAGTGTGTGATAAAGTGAAAGGTGAGGCAAACAGACTAACAGGAAAAATAAAGTGTGGATAAATATTATAAATATTATAAATATTGCAATATTGCGAGACAGGAGCATTTTTTATAGAAGTGGCTGTTCACAAGGGAATGCTACATTAAGTTTTATGTAAAAGTGATAGATGCCCATAAAACAAGGATGAGAAGCGCATTCAGACCTGTGCACTTAACTAGGGCCAAAGTCAAGCAGGTGTGACGCTCAGCAGCGCAGTACAGTTTGAACGTTACGTGTTCAGAAGCAGGTCTGAAATCCATTTTCTACCGTCTGTATCAACACATTTTCACAGTAATTGCTGCTGCAGTTGTTTTTATGACAATACAATGGACTTTTTAGTTGCAGCTACACTGATCAGGCATAACATTATGACCACCTCCTTGTTTCTACGCTCGTTGTCCATTTTATCAGCTCCACTTACTATATAGGTGCACTTTGTAGTTCTACAGTTACAGACTGTAGTCCATCTGTTTCTCTGTTGTGGTCAGGACCCCCATGGACCCTCACAGAGCAGGTACTATTTGGGTGGTGGATCATTCTCAGCACTGCAGTAACACTGATGTGGTGGTGGTGTGTTGTGCTGGTACGAGTGGATCAGACACAGCAGTGCTGCTGGAGTTTTTAAACACTGTGTCCACTCACTGTCCACTCTATTAGACACTCCTACCTTGTCAGTCCACCTTGTAGATGTAAAGTCTGAGACGATAGCTCATCTGCTGCTGCACAGTTTGTGTTGGTTATCCTCTAGTCCTTCATCAGTGGTCACAGGACACTGCCCACAGGACGCTGTTGGCTGGATGTTTTTGGTTGGTGGACTATTCTCAGTCCAGCAGTGACACTGAGGTGTTTAAAAACACCGGCAGCACTGCTGTGTCTGATCCACTCCTACCAGCGCAACACACACTAACACACCACCACCACGTCAGTGTTACTGCAGTGCTGAGAATGACCCACCACCCAAATAGTACCTGCTCTGTGAGGGTCCATGGGGGTCCTGACCACTGAAGAACAGGGTAAAAGGGGGCTAACAAAGTATGCAGAGAAACAGATGGACTACAGTCTGTAACTGTAGAACTACAAAGTGCACCTATATAGTAAGTGGAGCTGATAAAATGGACAATGAGCATAGAAACAAGGAGGTGGTCATAATGTTATGCCTGATCAGTGTACTTTTGATGGCCAACATTCTCACTGCGCTGCAGTATGTGCAGCTCCAGAGCGCATTCTAGTGGTGATCAGAGACCAAGCACAGGGTGTCCACTGAGACGTTGAAGATCTCCACAACAGGAGGTGATTTCACAAAAGCAAGAGTTCTCAGCTGGTCAGTTTTACTGGGAATTGAGGACTGTCCAGTGGAAATGTGAACTGGAGCTCCCCCTATGGGACAGTCTTGACTTTTGTATCAAAGTTACCCATCCCACTGAGAAAATTCTGCTTTCTGAAATGCTGAATTGTCGTAAATACAAGGTGAATACATTACTGTAGCCATTAAATACAAGTTATTCATTTTTTAGTGTCAAGGGTGAAAACACCATAAATATCAACATTTTCCATATTTACTGTGTCCACTCTCTACCTTTATTACAGCTTCCACTCTTTTCAGGAGACCCACTTTCAGTTTCTCAAAGAAACCTGCAGAAACACCTCCAAAGTTCAGTCTTAGAAGTTGGCTGATCATTTTCTGAAGTAATCAAACACATTCAGTGGTGTTGAGGTCTGGACTCTGGGGTGGTCAGTCCATCGTTCAGCTTCTTTGATTGATGTGTCCGTCTCCTTTTCTCAGTGAGGTTCTTCTTGACAGCTACACATCCTTTCAGACCCACAGCGCTGAGTCGTCTTCTCACAGTGGAAGGATGGACAGAAACACCTGTGGATGTTTTCAGATCTGAAGCAGCTTGATTTTCTCCTCTCTCTCAAAGATGAAAGCTATAAGTGCTGTTTATCTGATGGGGGCAGTTTTGGTGTCTACCAGGTCTTCCAGGTGGTTGTTAGGAGGCCCATTTTCTCTGTAGCGTTTAATCATTTTTTCACTTATTTTCTTTGACTTCCTTCTTCATTATGCAAGTGGACTGTTGTACATTTTCTCAGAAAAAGCTTTAGAAAAGTATTAACTTTATTGCAGTTTTAAAGAGTGGTGTCTGACTTTTTTACACAGAACTGTAAAACATTCAAATTAAAGCTTTCAAAACATTTTTCAAATGAAAAAACAAAAATTCACCAGACTTTTGTTTTTTTTACTGTTTTATTGGAAGTGAAGTTGTTTAATTTCCATTTGACTACAAAATGACGTTTCTGATGTTTTTGATTCCTCCATCCACCGAGACTACACATGGCAAGCTCCAAACTATGTGTCATATCAACATCCAGAATAAAAACTTTGTACAATATAAGCCACTCAGTTTTAAAAATAAAACTGTTTTTTTTTAAGAAACACAAACTCAAAGACAAAAACGAACAAGAATGATAAAGATGGGAAACAGCAAAGAGACTCGAAGGATCTTAAGTGACGAGCCAATCACGACGAGTCAAAATAACAAAACCTCTGCTTTGGAAAAAGAGGTCAACAGTAAAGTGATACATTCCGGTCCTCAACTCAGTGGACGTGCGTGTTCATGCGCACTCACAGAAAAACCATCCATTGAGAGGGAAGCTAAGAAGTCATCACTGGAGAGAGAGAGAGAGAGAGAGAGAGGGAGCAGTTATGTTAACAGTTAGGGTTTAAGTGTCCGTAGTGGGCACTGATGAAGCAGTGCTGAACAGAGAGCAGATCAGTGTGCGTGGTTTTGGGCAGGGCTCATCGAATCCTCTTCTGCTGCCTTGCTCGGTAAATATCGTTAACCGGTGGGGCGATGGCCCCTTTGTCTTCCTCCTCGTCTGAGTCGGCGTTGGGCCTCTTCAGGGCCTTATTGGCCACAGCGTGATTCTCTATGGGCCCGTTCCCCTCGCTGGTCGCGTCAGGACGACTGCCTGTAATCAGTTCCACAGCAGCTTCCACAGCTACACAATGGACAGAGAGCAAAAGAACACTAAGAACACCATACCAACCACAGCAAAGTTACCATAGCAACCAGATTTTGAAGAAATAAATAATTGTAAGGCAATAGTATGAACACTTTTGGCTTCTTTAGTTTTGCACTGGAGCTATGAGACAAATCTACGCTGTTAGAAATAAAGGTTCTGTGCAGGTACATTTTTTGTTCATCAAGGTACAAACAGTGTAAATGTTCCCTCAAAGGTACAACAGTGGTTGTAACGTCTGATTGTGAACCTTAAATAAGTTTTTCCAGGTGAAAAGTTCGTATTTGTACCTTTTTATAACCGAATGTTTTAAAACAGAACAGTAAACTAAAAGCCTGGAGACGAGACGGGGTGTGTGGAGTCAGTACAACTTAGGAAATATAATTTCTGTGGATTATGGTTCAGTTATGTTCCCTGACTAAAGGTACTGAGATGTACCCTTGAGGGTCCTGCCCCAGTGACAGTTTAGTACCTTTTTGTCTGAGAGTGTAGATAACAAGTAATGGAAGTTTATGCACACAATTTAGCACTGTTCAAACTACATGCCGAAACAATCACACACTTGCCTCACACCATGTGTAATTGTTAAGAAATCTCTAGCAGACTTGATTATGTGGTTTCTGATACTGTATGACACACTGTCATATATATACACGGACCCAAAAAAAAATAAATAAAAAAAATCAGGCTTCAAGATGACTTACTACTACTATTAGCCACACAACATATTTTGTTCCATTTTAAAACCTTTTTGCTGTTAGAAAAACAAAGATACCGCTAAGTTTCTTTGATTTTTTGATTGAATCCATCCTTCTACTTTCCAAAATTAAATGAAGGTCCTGGACAAATGGTTAGTTACATGTTTAAAGATTGTTTTTAGCCACTTAGGTGGGCACCCTCTAGCGTTCTGCAGTCATGTTTCTGATATAATGGGAGAAGCAGGAAGTGGGCAGGCATTGCACATACTGCCTCCGGTGCTTAAGCTTCCATTTCTTGTTGGCTACATTAGCCTTATAGCTCCAGTGAAAATTTAAAGAGGCAAATTAAAGTCTCTTTAACTTCAAACAGTCTAATGGAGATGTGCTGGTGAAAAGGATAAGAAACAATGTACAGAACTATGTAAAGAATGTAAACGGTCAAGTTCTAGGAGAGATGTAAAGCCACAACCTAACATTTCGTCGCTGTCAGGACAAAATCTTAAAGTTTTTAGTTTGAATTCTAATTTGAAAATGCCAGTTGATGTTTACATTGTGTTTTGACCAACTGACCGACAGAAATGGTTCAACATTTCTTGGAAAAAATCCTGTTACTGTCAACTTCCATTCAAAGTTAAGACAATTTCTTCTTTTTACTGTAAAGTTACCTTTTTTGGAGATATGAGGTATTGTCCTGACAGGGACAACATCCTACAAACACCACTGTTGTAATACTGTCGGGCTATAGCTAAAGGAACTGGTGAGAAAGAGGAAGAACACTCTAAAGTCTCCCTGCAGTCTCTCCCACCCAGTGTTTAGATTTACATGAGTTTGTCTTCTGGAGAATTTTGGGTGGTGTGCTCTGAGCTTTAAAGAGCCTCAGGGCCAGTGTGGGATACATACTCTCTGGCAGCGTGCATCTTCTAAACGACTCCATCAGCTCATCCACTTTCACAAACGGACCCTGCAGAGGAAGAGTGGAAACAAAAAGTTTTCACATGAACTATTCTGGAAGAACTGTCTCATTCTGGCCTCCACCCCTTCAGCCTGTCCACTCTGCCTCTCACTGCAAGTTCACATGAAGGGTTTGCCATATTAAGGGCTCTCTCCGAGTCATTTACAGGGAGTGGAAGTGGGCTATAAAAGTCTCCGACAGCAGGCGAGCTTCGATTCAAACTTGCAAACAACGGCACTCCACAGAAACACTGATACAGAATGTAATTGTTATGCTTAAATAATAGCAAAACAACAGTAAGGATTAGGGACGCACCAATATGGGAGTCGCAGGCCAATGCTGATATCTAGTATTTTTTCATGTACATATCTGCTTATGCAGCACAAGTGCTGATGCTGATTCAGTAACACTTATAAAATGTAGAAAATCAGACTAGATCTACCAGGATTACAATGAGAAATATAACACTGAATTTTGTAAAATAATGAACACAGTAAAATTTTTAAAATACTAAGATTTTAGTGCAGTAAACCAGCATCACCTAAACATATAATTTAACATCTGCTGATACACATCATCATGCATCTCTGATAAGAACTCTCAATTTCAACAACAGAGAGATATTCCAGAAGAGCCTCAACTAGGAAGCATGCTTTAGATAAACATCACTGGGCCTTATTCACCAATATTTTCCCAAGTATTTTGTTAAATATGTTCTTGAGAAAGGTCCTAAGAAAAAGTCTACGCCAGATTAATGACGTGTTTTTAAACCACAGGACTGTTTGCACAGTGTTGAGTGTGCGTAGATTCTGTTCTTACCTAAGAACAAATCCCAAATAAGAAAACATTGGTGAACGTCAGGTTCTTTGTGAAAACTACGTAAGTGGGATTTAAGAAGAGATTATTTCTTTTGAACGGTTGGTGAATGAGGCCCATTGTTCTTAAACAACAGGGTCTAACTAACAGAACGCTCTTAGTCATAGATAGTGGTATAGTGGCCTGTAATACTGACCGTAAAACAAGTTGGAGGAGGCAGCAGCTTCATGAGTACAACAGCAGCGGGAGGGACAGGAAACACTCCTCCAGGAACAGGGTGCAGGCCGGGGGCTGCGTCACAGATACATATGGCTTAATATTACAAGCATTACTTATTAAATGTGTATACAGTATTGTGCAAGAGTCGTCACCATACATCATTTATTTAAGTTCCAGTCAAATAACAGCCATTTAGTACAAAACCAATTCCAAAAAAGCTGGGGAGGTAAATGAAATGCTATTAAAAACAGACAGCAGTGATCAGTAAGTTCTGTTTGGCCTACATTCAATAAAAACACATTATTTGGTGTTTTACCTTATGAACCTCATTGTTTTTTGTAAAGGTAAGCTCATTCCAAATTTGCTGCTTGCAACATGCTCCAAAAAAGTTAGGACATGAGCATGTTTACTAATGTTACATCACCTTTCCTTTTAACAGCACTTAAACATTTGGGGACTGAAGACAATGATCTAGTTTCGAAAGCAGAGTTTTTCTATTATACTAGTACAACCATACAGGGCCTTTGTTGTCATATTCTGAGCCTAATAAACACACACTTTTAATAAGGGACGGTTCTGGACTGCAGGCAGGCCAGTCTAGCACCCTGATTATGCAGCCAGGCTAGTGTAGCATGTACAGAATGTGGCTCAGTGTCGTGTTGAAATAAGCACTGACGTCCCTGAAAAAGACGGCATCTAAAAGGCAGCACATGTTGCTCCAAAATGTGTTTAGCGTTAATGCCGTTTTAACGGATAAACAAGTTACCTGCTAACTGTTTTTAATGCAGTGCTGTTCATGTGTGGTTTTCAGCATCGTCCTTTATGCAAAGTTATGATGATATTATGCACTTTAAATGAGGGGTCTCTGACTTTTACACAGTATGGTAATGAAAGCAAAAAGTGGACAAACTAAACACTGAACAATTTATTCAGTTGTTGAGGCTGAGGCTTCTGTGTAATTTTTCATGAATTACGCTTTATTTCTTTTTTTTATGGCTCTGAAAAATGAAAAATGATTAAACGTATCTTGGAAATTAAACTAATAAAGGCTTTGAGGTTTTTACAATACTGCATGAGGTTACTATTATTGTTATTCCAGATAGAAGACTATGAGAGTCTTGCACTCTTTTTAAGCACAAAAGCCTGTGTAGAAAGGTGAGCTTTGTGAAAGTTTTGTAAGATTTCCTTAAATGGGAATTCTTCTTAAATTCATTTTCCCAAAGATCGTGAAGAAATGTTTGTCATAACTGCTCACAGCATAGCGTCAACAGCAAATGACATGCCAGGTCTTTATTCGCTGCATTTTGTGCCGCCTTTATTTCGCAGCCAGATTATAATAAAAGCATCATATGAGTAGATACAGACGTCCTCATTCAGTCAAGTCGCTGTATTTCTCTCTGTGCTGTTCTTACTACAACACCGCAAACATGTTCTGGCTGCTAATTCTAATCCTTCAAAGAAATAATACATCCTGTCACTGCTGCTTGTCCTACATTGTGAATGCATTAGATCCAGGGCGTATGTTCTCTTAGGCTGATCATAACATCTGGGTTGATGAAGAACCGAACATCAGGCTGTCACTTGCCTTTATTGCCATTTTTGACACTGAAACTTCAGTAGGTTAGTCCTAGTTTCTGTCTGAACTGGAGCATCCTGACGCAGACTTCTCTAATTCGCTTTCTGAACGTCATCTCACAGATATAAATATCTGCTTTGGTCCATCAGGGCTGAACTACAACAGCAGCAATTCTTTAGGGACTCTGGGTTTTGGCTTGTATATGAGAAAGTTTCAGAAAAGTTAGGAATGTCTGATTCTGGCTTAGAGATGATTATGATTAAGAGACGGTGTGTGTGTATGTATGTAGGTGTGTGTATATATATATATATATATATATATATATATATATATATATATATATATATATATATATATATATATATCACTGCTATTGAAACAAAACCCTTTATCTCTGAAATGATAAGTTTACAGGAGACGGAAAAAACATACTTTACTTTTAATGTAAGTCAATGGATTTGCAAGTCATTTTGGGTGATTTGTTTTGGTCCATTCTTCATGAAATTTACAGACAATGTAATATATATTGTATTTAAATACATCCCAATTATTCTTATCCCACATACATCTAATACCACTATAAACATAATGCATGCAGGAAAAGAAAAAAAAACTTTTGAAAAAGTGCTCTGGGGTGCATTTTTAGGAGCTCTTTTTTTGGATAACTAATGTCATTCCTAGGAAGCTGAATATCTTGTTGCAACTGTATACCTGAAGTAACTGTCTTCAAACAGGAGGAATTAATTACTCAAATGAAAGAAGTGGCTCGTCAGATGAGGACAACAAGATTAAAGCTAAAATTAGCAAGGTAGACATCTCTAGTCCTAACAGACAGATACTTACGAGCGAGGTGTCGAGGCTGGAAGGGTATCATCTGGTTGGTGTCCGGTTTTGGATACTCCGGCTTACGGTCAGTCTCATCCTTCAGAGCGGGGGCTGAAGGGGCGACGACTGCCTCTGGGATCAGTGCAGCATATTTGGCACGGGACACGTCCTGTCATTCAACAGTACAGAGACAAAAGGGGACAGAAGGATGTGGGATTACCTAATGTAGCTACTACTAGGTGTGCATGATACACACTAGAGCTCAAAAGTTCAGAATAAATGTTTTTTATTAAGGTAAAAACATTGTGGTGGCAGATAAACATAGCCAATGACTAACAACCTGAGATTTATATACTATATATTTTTAATCTCACCTTGTATCCAAGGGCTTTGAGTTCACTGGTGGAGCAGGGGTACAGATCCATGAACTTATATCTGTCCACAAGCAGGGCCGTCTCCTTGCCCTCGTATTCGTCTTTAAACGCCATAAAACGCCTCCGCTCCACCTTCAGGATACTGGCCAGGTCTCCAATGTTGCTCTCAAATGCTAAGAAGCGAGCCCAGATCTCACTGTAAAACACGCACACGCATTAAACTTGACGCAAAACAAGCTAACTGTGATTTGAGTCTGCTGGGTTAAGACAAATTAAGGTAAATAAAAGAAAGCAGTAAATACATCCACTGAGACATCATGGGGATAAAACAATAGTTCTAACTTCTAACCTGGTGCTTTAACATGTTTAGAGGACAGCGCTGAGTAACGTTTGTTTACTTGTCAGCTAGCTAGGTAGTCAATTCTAACATTTTAGCTGAATGGGTGTTTCCTTTTTGCTTTTTGTAAAGAACATACTCCTTGCTTAACTCTACATACAATTCTGAGTATATATGATGCAGAAATATTTCACTTGCAACTTATATTTATAATATTATTTCTTTGAAGGTACATCATTTCACTTATGTAAAGAAATGCAGATATTAGCAGTGAAACTACACCGATCAGGCATAACATTATGACCACCTCCTTGTTTCTACACTCATTGTCCATTTTATCAGCTCCACTTACTACATAGGTGCACTTTGTAGTTCTACAGTTACAGACTGTAGTCCATCTGTTTCTCTGCATACTTTGTTAGCCCCCTTTTACCCTGTTCTTCAGTGGTCAGGACCCCCATGGACCCTCACAGAGCAGGTACTATTTGGGTGGTGGATCATTCTCAGCACTGCAGTAACACTGATGTGGTGGTGGTGTGTTAGTGTGTGTTGTGCTGGTAGGAGTGGATCAGACACAGCAGTGCTGCTGGAGTTTTTAAACACCTCAGTGTCACTGCTGGACTGAGAATAGTCCACCAACCAAAAATATTCAGCCAACAGCGTCCTGTGACCACTGATGAAGGACTAGAGGATGACCAACACAAACTGTGCAGCAGCAGATGAGCTATCGCCTCTGACTTTACATCTACAAGGTGGACTGACAAGGTAGGAGTGTCTAATACAGTGGACAGTGAGTGGACACAGTGTTTAAAATGGACAATGAGCATAGATCAAGGAGGTGATCATAATGTTATGCCTGCGTATTTAGCAGGAGACAAATGTAAGCACTGTTAGTTCATAAACCTAAACATGTAAGGCATTTACTACAACATACAAATTTGAAAAAAAAAAAAAACTTTCTAACCCTGATTTTTCAGGAGAAAGACTTCCAGAAGTCAGAACTCTCTCAAAAAGGACTCGTGTGTTGTTGTCCTCTGTGAAGAAAGCGAGATAGAGTTAAATGGAAAATCAGTCATTCATTCAGGATGTCCCTCAGACTCTCTCACGGCAACATTTTTCAGGACAAAGCAGAAATAAACTTGATGATAAAGTAATAGCCTAGCGACGGCCCTGTATTTACTGCATGGCAAACACTGTCAACACGCTATCCACTGTGAAGGAGAGTTATATTGTCTGTGTGGTTTGATAAGAGGCCTTTTGACACATATTCCATCATCACTCACTGTGAGTAAACAGCCGAGCTGAGATAGGTACAGGGTCATCGCAGGGGAGGGTCACAAATACGAATATAAAAAGTGGTTAGTATGAATTACTAAAATGTTTTTTGGTAAATAAGCCACAAGAAGCTGTGCTTTACAGTGATTTTATAAATAACAACTATTCTTCTGCCAAGCAGTGTAGTTCATTAACACTAACTGCTAAGCAACATAAATAGTAAAAGATTATTTCATATTATTATAATAACAAAATGTTTTTTTAAAAACTTGCCACATTAATACAAAATTCAACATATCCGTGTGGTCTCGTGTAAATATAGTGTGTTTTAGGACCACAAATCTGAACGTGGCTCAGCCAATCAGATTTTAGAACTGTTTTGTAAACATAATTTGGTCAAAAAGAGGACATCCAGGGATGGATTACTGATCGGGCCAGTAGAGTCAGTGTTCAGGAGCCTCTGACAACCAGGGGTCTCAAACCACAAAGCTTGAGGTGGCTCAAAAATTCACCTCTGTCACAATTCATTGAAGATGTAAACATTAGATGAAGAAGTAGCCCTTTAATACGTACAAATGACTGAATGACTGAAAAAAATAATAAATGTTTTCTGTTCGGAGGTCTGTTTTCTGTTTTAATTATCAGCCAAATGGGACGACTTGGTTTGGCTTGAAAAAAAACAACAGCATGATACAAATGTTACACAACAATATTTTAATCTTACACAAATAGTTATAATGTAGGCACAATAGGCTATTGCATATTAATAAGGCTAATTTTGCTAATATTTATAGTGTTGCTTAAAATGGACATGAACACAAACATGAAATAAGCTCATTTTTCAGGTCTTGTTTTTTTCCTCCTTTTCCCCCAAATTACATATTGTGCGGGCTCCACAATTATTTGAGGTAATCGTGAATATTTCAGCTTGTCACAATTATTTTCCACAGATGTTATTTTTCCACAAACATTTCTTTTTTCGACCTGTGACGTTTGTTGGAACATAAACATAAGTTCTAACTTCTGAGTTAGTGCTATAGTACACTTAGAGAAATCAAGACTGCTAATAAGCCAGTACGGCCACATAAGGTTTAATGTTATTGATGCTGTCGGATCAAAACCTCGTATCTCCATATTCGTCATTTTTCAGTTTTTGACATAATTTGAAAAAACCTACTGTCCTTTATATTGTATATAAATTTTAAGATGAATGGACCAAAAGAAGTGGCCCAGAAATGCTTGGAAAAATGTCTGGTTGCATTAACTTACATTACAAGTAGAGTATGCTTTTTCCTTCTCCTGTAAAGTTACCATTTTAGAGGTACAAGGTTTTGTTCCGACAGCAGCGATATAATAGTTGCATACAATGAACAAAAAAGGCAGTTAGACTGTTAATCGCTATTATTAATATGGCAATTAATCACTGGCTAAAAGTTTTATGATCGTGACAGGCCTATCAGGGGCCTCGCAAGACCACGGTTTGTCCCTGAGGACATCTATCTCCTAAAATCTAGGTCAAAAGACCAATTTGTGACACTGCTGTTGGAGAGAACGTCAGACTTTCTCTTTGCAAGTTTAACAGCTGCACAGGACAGAAAGAGGAACTTTGCGATTCTGAAACAGGCCGACATTTATTACACTCAAATAACTGATGACAGGAATATGAGTAACAATTTTTTTCTTTGTTGAAAAGCTTTTTGACAGCCAGTAAGGCGACAATTGGGGGAAACAGATATGGAGGGAAAATGGTTAGACATGGAAAATAAGATTTTAAATAGTTTATGACTTACTATTAGATAGTAAAAGCACAATTGGGGTGGTGGGGGGGGGGGTTATATCATCATCATCTGTAATCTGACAAATAAATTGTGTGACATCTAAGGTTGTAATCTTAACTGTAATTTTTATTCCAGTGCTGTTAGTCTTTTTATCTTGGTAAAAGTTTTAAACAGATTTATTAAATCCAAAGTTCTAAAATAAAGAGAATTTCTAAATCATGTAATACAAATTAGATCTGTGAGCTTTTCCACAGAGCTAGAAAAGAAAACGATCTTACCATTGAGATGAGAGAGATAATCAATATATGCCAGTATGTACTCTGGGATGTCTCCGTACTTCTTCAGACCCAGCTCAAAGATCTTAAAGGCCACTGATTTGTCCTGATGGAGAAATGATACAAACCCCATTTTATGAGTTGAAGCCAACATGTGAACCACACCTACTGCTTCCGGAGAGCTTTACAGTGTTCAGCACAGGGGAAATATCATAAATCACCTTAAAACAGATATGATATTGACCTGGAAAAAGAACTACACTTAAAATTAACAACTGGGCAAAACCTCTATCAATGTTTTTAAGCAAACAATTGAAATGATTATTACTGATTAGCCTAATTTATTAGCATCGTATCCCACACTTCTCAGGCTGTTAGAGACACTCTCTGACTTTCTTCATTCACAAATCTGAACAATAGATGTTATTCTTTAATTTATCATTTGCACCACACAACGCTTAAAAATACAGTCACGGGAAAAGTTTTGGGCTTCTGGCCAAATTATGTTGTAGTAATTTTTTAAAGTGGAAATAATTCCAACACCACCTCTACAGAGAACACACTTTTAAATTTTAATGCATAATTACTGTTTACTTAATTAATCTAACTTGTTGAAAAAAACTAAAACATAAAATGTGGCCTGTGGAAAAGTTATGGCATGTTTTATAGTTTATGCTTTTCTAATATATTTCACTAAAATTTGCAGAACTGTCATATTAAAGTGTGTTCTCTGTAGAGGATGTGTTAACTTTTAATTTTTTTTTTTTAATTTTCAAAAATTGAAATTTAAAAAAAAAAATTGCTTACAACTGTAGATATGCTTAAAATTAAATAATTGCAGTTGAATTAAGATAAAACAGATTATTTTATTTGGGAATAGCAATAAGAGGCAAAGACTAGCTGCTCATCTGGATTCAAGAGCCCTAAAATCTAAAGAACTAGCAAGTAACCTTGGTGCACAAATGGACTAGTTTTAGCAGTCGTGTCAAAGCAGTTACTACATCAGCTTTTTATCACCTTAAGAACATCAACAAGATCAGAGATGTTCTGACTAAAGCACTTAAGCAGACCTGCAGAAACTCATCCACGCCTTTATTTCTAGCAGAATTGATCACTGTAATGGTCTCCTAACTGACCTCCCAAAAAAGACAATCAGACAGCTTCAGCTGATTCAGAATTCAGCTGCCAGAGTCTCACTAGGAGGAAAAGAAGGGAACACGTCACCCACCCATTCTTAAATCCTTACACTGGCTACCAATCTGTTACACAATAGACTTAATGGGACTATTACTGGTCTACAAATCGCTCAATGGTGCAGAACCAGCATATTTATTTCATATGCTGCAGCAATATGAGGCGAGCAGGTCTCTCAGATCATTAGGAACTAGTCAGTTAGTCCTGCCGAAGGTGAAGACTAAACATAGAGAAGCAGCGTTTAGCTACTATGCTGCTCTTAAATGGAACCAGCTTACAAAGAGCATTAGAAGAGCTCTGACACTGGACACTTTAAAAACTACCAGCAACATGGATGCTGACCAGACATAACTGGAAAACACACTTCGCCAACAATATGAAAAAGCACCATAGCAGTGTGTGCATGTGTAGCCTTATATATTGCTTAAGAACACTAATTAACCTATCCCCATGGTTCCACTTAGTCCTAGTAACCTAGATAAAATATTCAGAAGTGGGTCAAAATACCATGAAAAAGTAGTGATGGCTGAATACTAATACACTGCCTTAAATGTGTTCAGTAAAGTAAAGTGTTCACGATACAAAATATTCAGAATACATTTAGAATAAATGTTCAGAATACATTCTAAAAAAATAGAAGATAGATAAAGATAAGAAAATAAAGATAAAAATAAAGTAAAATAAAAAAGAGAAGAGAAAGAAGTATATATATATATATATATATATATATATATATGTATATATGAATAAAGTAAGAAAGAATCAATATTTCACAATACATTTAAAAGATATTCAGAATACATTTAGAATACACACTGATAAAGCAGATGGAAAAACACTGCTTTTGTATTTTTTATTTATGTTCCTAGTTATGTTCATAATGTTCCTCTCTGTTAGCAGTATGTAATTCTGAATTTGTATATATTTTGATGAAAAAATTCACTTATTTCAGTAAAATGACAAACTTATCAACATTATTTTGTCTCTCATCACCTTCTTCAGTCCACTGCTGCTCCCACAATCCCACAAATAATATCACAATAACAAAATCTTACAAGTTTGACTATAAAGTGATTTTAGTTGATGACACACAGGTCAGCAACACCAAGATTAATAACTGATTATCACAATGGTTTATCAGTCTATTCAGGCCTTAGTATTTATTTTAAATTTACTGGGATAAGTACTTTGAAAGTTCTCCTAAAAAATTAAAAGGTAACTACATTCTGAAAAACACCTTTACAAAATGTAACTTGGACTGAATACAGATACTTAATTTCTGTATTCTGAGTATGTATTCCTAGTTATTCTGTTACATCCCAACCCTGAAAATGTTTTAGCATCTTTAATAAAAAGTAATAGTATGCAGTCTCTTCAAACTACCCCCTAAATGTAGAACAGTCTCTCATCCCAGGAGCTATTACCTTGCTGCAGTAGTATTCCATAAGAGCGGCTGTGACGTAAACATGGTGCCGTGTTCGAACGTCTTCTCTGGCCTTCTTAAAGATGGCACGACCTGACTTAATGCCCTCCGCCCTCCTGGCAAACTTCATGTACTGGATGTAAACCTAAACAGTGGGCAAAAGAAGAGAAAGTCAGCGTCATAATAGGGCACTGAAGCAGGAGTTAACAGTTATTCTTTATGAAAACTAATGCTAATAAATAATTGCCATGCATAAAATGAGCCTCACCAAGGTCGGGTCGATATCCTCTATGGCCAGCAGGCGGTTGTATATGCTGTGCACTTTCTCATATTTCATACGACTCTGAGGAACACAAGTCGCAAGTTAGGAGGTGCTTTTTAAACTCCAGAAAATCAAGATTTCATAGGCTTAATGATATGACAGCTAGAAAATCAGTCCAGCTGCAACCCATTAATCACACCTCCTCATCCAGAGCAGCTTTATAAGGATCAGCATAACAGCGTAAGGGAATTTTGTTTACATTATTAATATCAATATATTTCATGATTCATTACCTGAAATTAGACCTGAATATCTGATACATAACGTTGGGCCTTATTAATCATAACAGTTGCATTAAAAAGAGCAAAGATTTGATCGTCCGACAAATTACTCTGCATCTTTTTCATGAAACTTTAGTGCAACGTGGAAATAAGTGGAGATTTGAGATTTGATGATGAACCTGCTTTAGTGCGTGAAATCAAGCGCCAGTCCTCAGGAAGCACACCCTAATTCATGCAGATGTTTTGGTAGGGAGCCAATAAAACGACAGCATTCAGCGGCTTGTAAGCCAATGGCTGTGCTCGTAGGCAGAGTTTTGAGGTTGAGTGGTGACTGCACTGCTCCCCCTACTGACCAAATTTTATAGTGTTAAAATTATAAAGAATAACATTGGAAAGAATAAAATGTGAATTAAACGGTAGAATGATGTGACTGTAGTGCGATTTTTTTTTTAAATAACATATTTAAATGCTGCAGTACTGCAGTGTGAGATGCTTCTGCAGTAGCTGTGTTTTGCACTGCTTAAATTATGGGAGGAGTCAGTAGTGTATGTAATGTCTTTAAAAGGAACATGGAATATTTGCAGCATTTGCTTATATCAACGTGCACGTAAAATAAGCACATCTACTTTTGTATTGGATCGCCATGTGCACATATTGTTATTAACATTATTGTTATTTTCTATTTTTATTCTTATTAGTAGTATTTTAGATGATATTGATAACAGTTTTGGTTCATAAACCGCAAATCAAGTTTATTTCAGGCTGTTAAACTACCACTCCAGTACAGTTGACTGTACATAACTTTGACAAATAATGGCCAAAGTGAAAGAGAAATCATTATGCATTTGTCTTCCATAATTACGAGTGAATCACGGTGTCAGGGAGAGTGTCTGAGCTAGCTGAACGTTTTCTCTCGATGACTGTTGGGGGGAGGGGGCATGATATTATTAAATTAATATTATTTTTCTGCTTCTACTGGTGCACAGAGATATGATCAAAAAAGACCTAAAAGGAGGATTTTGATGGAAGATTACAGGAAAACAAGAATTTTGTTTTTTAAATATACGATATGATAATTAATGCTTAACATGACATACTATTAAGGTAAGAAAAATAATTTTAGGTTGACTTTTAATAGTTAATACAAAGAGCAAAATGTGTATATTAGTATTTGGATTACTGATAAATCAAAATATGAACTGATCATTTATAGTATACAAATTATTCATTCGTATCAGTGCTGAAAGCCTCACCTCCTCGTAGTCTGCAAAGGAGAAATATAGCAGCATGTTCTTCTTCAGTAGAGTTGAGATGGCACGCTCATAGATGTTAGCAGCCTCATCGCTGAATAGCTTAGCGTTGTTCATGTCCTAAATAAAGATGTTTAAAAAAAAACCAAACAAATGAGAGTGAGTGGTTCAAGGCATTTGCATTATGAGACATTACCAAGCAAACAGACAGAACTAAATGCTCCTAAAAATAATATAAATGTGCCACAAAGGGTTCTGAAAGTGATGTCATAGAAGAACCACTTTTGGTTCCCTAAAGGATTTGTTTGAAAACGAGATTTGTAAGTGTGAAGAAGCTTCTAATGGGTTTAAAAGAACCTTCACATACTGAAAATGTTCCTTATTAAAATAAGAACCTTTAGGTTATGTGGAGGCTCTTTAAACTTTAAAAACCATCAATGGATGGGTTCTCTTGGTAGCCAAAAGTGGTGCTTTCATTGCATCGCACAAAAAGCCATTTTGGGCACCTTTAGTTTTAACAGTGAAGATAAATGATCATGTGAGTTTCTACAACCTCAACCTCACCCTAATAATAATTAAAACATATTAAAGATTAAGAAAATCATACATTTAAATTCATTCACAAAATTGAATAACAGTAATTTTTTTCAACACTTTACAACATAATTAAACAAATAAAATGAAACGGCAACAAACACTCGCACAGCTGAAAATATCTGAGATGAAAGACAAACCCCTTTCTCTGCCAGCAGCTTGCTGGACTGCTCCAGATACTGAGCAGCCTCGTACCACACGTCAGGATGATGGCCGAGCACCAAAAGGCACTGCTCGTAGGCAAACATCACTGCAGGAGCAAGAACATACAGACTTCAGCAACAAAAACAGCAACATGTTCCGCCAGCAAGCTCTCTCTATTCAGACCACAGCTTGGGGACTCTCTGACTATCCTGGATACTGAAATCTCATACAATATAAGGAGTCTGGATAAGAAGGATAAGGATTTGTTTTGGTGCTAAACTTATTAATTTTACACAGTTTGATAAAGGTCAGCATTTTGAATCTCCATAAAATCCTCTTTAACTCTTGTGTGGTGTTCAGGTGTGTGGAACCCATTTTCAATGTTTACCAAAAGAAAAAATTATGTGAATTATTATTATTTCAGCCTCACATTCCTTGGCCGTTGCTCATTTTCTGTGAAGAACATATACCACATTTTCAGTGTCTTCACTCTGTTCACCCCCCACACATTTATATTACACATGTGGTGTTGGGCTGAACCCACAGGAAGTAAAAGTGTGGAGGTGCTGTGCCCTTCACTCTGTTCTCCTCCTACTTGGCCTGCTGTGTGTGTGTGTGTGTGTGTGTGTGTGTGTGTGTGTGTGCGCGAGGGTGGACAACATGGACAGGCTGCTGACTGGCTACAGCTGCTAACAAAAACAAACACCACACAAAAGCTAATTTGTAAAACTGGTCCTTTAGTTAAGTGGACTGACATTATAAGGAGAAATTACAGTCATTCTGGTTGAGTTATCCTTAGTCAATATTTCCACATCCTGGTTCTGTAGCATATCTGCCCTGCACGTCAGTGTTTTTTGCTCTAACACAGGATTCAATTTCCTTCCTTAATTTGTCCTTCACAAATTAAAATGCCAATTCCCCTTAACATTGTGGTCAAATGTCATAGTGAATGGGCCAATAGAAATGGTCCATATCTTTATACATATTTATTTAATGTGTAAATGAGGTACACATTTGAATCAAGTAAATTCAGTGAATCAATACTTTTTTGAGAAACACTGTTTTATGTTACAGGCCCAGTCACCTCTCTTAGTGATGAGCGTTTGGTCTTCTGTGCGCAGAGGGTTGCTCTTCTCCCACTGGATGTACTTCTTCCACATCTCCACCTGCTGGGCCTCCTGAGGAGAGTTCTGTGGAGGCACTGAGGGCGCGTTCCGGTCCAAACCCTTCATCACTGTCTCATACTCCTACAACAGAGCACGATTATGGCGATATATTTTATAGGTATACTTCAAAGAGAACATTACATTCACTGGACTCTGTTTATCATTCTGCATTAAGACTATATATATATATATTATTATATATATATATATATATATATATATACTATATATATATATATATACACACACACATACACACACACACACACGGCTGGAATACGGCAAGGCAGCTTTTAGTTACAGTGCTCCATCTGCATGGAATGATCTGCAGAAACATTTGAAATTGGAGCAAATTATTTCCTTGAATGATTTCAAGATAACTGTTAAAGAATTGTATCACTGATTGTGGTCGTGCTGTTTCTTTGTTGATTGTTTTGTGTGCTACCTTCTTGGCCAGGGCTCACTTGTAAAAGAGATTTTTAATCTTAATTAGTGTGATTACCCTGTTTGAATAAAGGTTAAAAAAAAACAAAAAAAAACAAAAAAGAAATCACATCATCAGAGTTACAAAGCCAGTTAGCAAATGTCACATACTGAAACAGTCACACAAGATCTTTCAGTTTTTAATGTACTGACAAGTGAACTCACTGTTTCAGATGTATCAAATAATATCAAATGCCTAATTAAATACCAGATGTGATCATTTTTATTCAGAGTTATCTGCAGTATAGCAGTGGTGGAAACTCTGGGTGAAAATCAGTAAGAGTGAAAACAGGTGAGGCTCTTACCTTAGCAACCCTTCTAGCATTCATGTAGTCTCTGCTTCGATCTTCTATCATCTTTTTAGCCAGGTGAATATTGATACCCTTAAAAAAGGGAAAAGGAGTTTAGCACTTAATATAACAACACAGATGAACATCATGTCAAAGGAACCTGAAGCAAAACCTCTTTCAAAAGCTCAAGGAAACTAAAGCAAAACCTCTCACTTCCAGAAGAAAGTGGCTGAAAAAAATGTGTAATTATTCTGCAAGTATTTTTAATAAACGTACTGTAATTATCTATTTAAAATATTTATTGCTATTCATTGTTGAGCTTTCTCTGGAATTTTATAAGCATCTACAACTTCGTTCATCATACTGTACACAGCAAAATCTGTATTTTCTATTTTCATGACTTCTCCTCCTCTTACCTCCTCATATTTGCTGTAATCTCTCCACAGCTGTTCGATGTTGATCATGGGGTTGACGCAGCCCCTTTGGTAAACCCGCCGCACGGCTGTGATTCGCTGGTTTTCTGCATATGACCCCACTGCCTCGCTAACAGACAAAGTGGAGATAAAGTACACTTTCAAAAATAGCAAGTTAATTAACAATACATTCTGTGTTTTCACTATTTTAACACATTCTGTGTCAGGCCACAAGAACATGGCATATCTTCAATGCAAATTGCGTAATTTGTACCTTTATGGCACAAAAAATCTGAACACGTGCAATAATACACACTGGTCATATTAAAGGTAACTCAAAATGTCCATAACTGGAAGCACAGCTAACACGCTAGGTGATGTAAAAATGCTGAAACTGTATTTGGAATGACTCATTACTTACACTCCTTTAAGAAAGTTGATGTAGTCCACCCAAATCTGAAAGAAAAGAGAGAACGAGAATGTGACTGAGACGTAACAGCTGTGAAATATGAGGTATCAATATTGACAATGCAGTACTTACCTGGTATGACATGATCTCCATTCCAATTTTGTCCAAGGCAAAATCGTATGCCTGAGCCATCTTTTCCCTAAATAATGCAAATTTGATTATAAAGACACCCAATCCCAAAATTCTTTAACAAAGTATGCAAAAGTCACATGCTTGTCATTGCATACTAGGAGTGTATCAATAAAGCTCACTGTAGTGCAACGTCAGTGCAGGTTCTACCTAATAAACTACACAAGCAACTTCTTAGGGCCCCACAGCCACCAGGGGGCCCCCTAACAACTCATTACTTATGTTGAATGCTCTAATACACCGATCAGGCATAACATTATGACCACCTCCTTGTTTCTACACTCATTGTCCATTTTTTTAGCTCTACTTACTATATAGGTGCACTTTGTAGTTCTACAGTTACAGACTGTAGTCCATCTGTTTCTCTGCATACTTTGTTAGCCCCCTTTTACCCTGTTCTTCAGTGGTCAGGACCCCCATGGACCCTCACAGAGCAGGTATTATTTGGGTGGTGGATCATTCTCAGCACTGCTGTAACACTGATGTGGTTGATGGTGTGTTGTGCTGGTACGAGTGGATCAGACACAGCAGTGCTGCTGGAGTTTTTAAACACTGTGTCCACTCACTGTCCACTCTATTAGACTCTCCTACCTTGTCAGTCCACCTTGTAGATGTAAAGTCAGAGACGATAGCTCATCTGCTGCTGTACAGTTTGTGTTGGTCATCCTCTAGTCCTTTATCTGTGGTCACAGGATGCTGCCCACAAGACGCTGTTGGCTGGATATTTTTGGTTGGTGGACTATTCTCAGTCCAGTAGTGACACAACAAGGAGGTGGTCATAATGTTATTCTATATTCTAGATAGATAGCCCTAATGTTAGATGTCAGTCGATGTGGTCAATGTAAAGTTAGCCAGTTTTTTCACGTAGATAAAAAGGGTTTGCAATATTTCATTAAATCTTAGAGTGGAACCTTTTAAGGTCCATCGAACACGTTCAAGGGTAGCATGGTGAAGTGCATCCCTAATCCAAAGAGAATGTGTTGGGGCAGGCGACTTGCAATGTAGATGAATATACCAATTAAAATGGACCAAAATTACTTGGAAAAAATATTGTTAAATTAACTTAAATTGCAATGTTTTCCCTTTTCCTGTGAAGACATCATTTTGGAGATATGAGGTTTCGCTCCAACAGCGATGACACCTTCCTTAACAAACAACCTTCAGTATATAAGCAAACTCTGCTAAAGAAACCACATACTTGTAGCTGGGCAGTTTTCCTTTGGTTTCGCGAACATATGAAAGGTAGCATTTCCACAGGTCAATGTGCAGGACCTTCATGAGGCATCTCTGAAACAGCTGGACAAGAAAAGGAAGCAAAATGTGTTTAACATGCACAGCTACACAGTTAACACATCAAAGGAACATTGGGTTACTAATCTCTCTGTATTTGGTTTACACATTGGCACTTATTGGCACTTTTTTATCGATTTAAAATCAGTAAAATATAAAGTTAGGTGCTGTTTGCTGTAAAACACCAAGCATCCTGACCATCCTGGACTGACAGTGATTGAGTGCAGACTGGAGAGTCGCACTGTGAGGAAAATGACATCAGCACTGACACAACAGGTTCACAGTTCGCCTCACAGCACAATCAGTACCTCCTCACGGACAAATGCAGCCCACATGACGCCCGTTCCAGCTCAAACACCACCTAAGCAGCATTTAATGCTGCTGTGACACACACACACTACCACAGCCCTGCATGTCAGTGTCGGGTTACTCTCACGAACATAAGGACTGAGACATGAAACAAATGTTTAAGGTTTTCTTTTTTTCGATTTACAAACAATGATCCCTGGCTGAATGAATTAAATAATTAATAATAATAATAATAATGTTGAACTTATTTAGTGCCTTTCTCAAACCCAAGGTTGCAAAAAGATTCTGAATTGATTTTAAATTGATTTTTTGCAACATTTTCTAATTTCAGTGACCAAATTCTCATCACTACAACACAATTTGAAGATAAATACATAAATAATGCCCCCCCCAGCCTTTTCTTTTCACAATCAGCATACTGCTGTCAGACTATGCACTTTAAAGCTAATTATTAAAACATTAATAAGTTTTTGAAATTGTGTCATTCCCGCAACAGCCAGGTTTCTCTTTGTACTTGACAACATTTTGCTTTTGGTTGCCTTCCTTAAAGCTTACAAGGAAAATATTAAAGTAAAGAGATTTAACAGTTAAAAGCAATACAGCCTGTTTTTTTTTTTCTCTTATTAAAAAAGGAGAAAATTATACATCAGTACTGAGAAAGACGTTGACAGATTGCGGTAGTGTAAAAAATGCCAAAAAAGTAGAAAAATAAGAAAAACTAACTTTTTTTTGCTGTATCATATTGAGCTCCAACTGATCTACTAAATATTATATTAAATATATCACAATATATGAAACTTATATTGTTCATCTGTGCAATGATTAATGACACTCAAATATTTCTACACATTTTTTGAGGCGGTTTCATGAGAATGAGCCTCTCACTGCTGTGAGTCCATCACCCAACTAATATAAAGTCAGCGGTGGTCCTGTGGTGGTCTCTTTCCAATGATGAATGGTGCAGAGGGCAGTTAATAAACAAAGTAGCAACAGATTTGCTATAACCAGGTACAGTGATATGCAAAAGTTTGAACACCCCAGTTAAATGACGTTTTGTTGATTTTCTAGGTGGAAATAAGTGACCACGTCCTCTAAAGGGAACCAACTTATTTTCACTTAGAAAATCAGCAAAATATGTAGTTTAACCAAGGGCGCCCAAACTTCTGCATACGACTGAGTGAATGCACATGCTGATTTTACATTATTTTATGAGAAGAAATCAAACACTTCTTATTTTCCCCATAGTTTAAATAGATTTTGCTCTTTCCAAAACAGGCTTTTCCACTTGAGTAAGCAGATTTATTGTTTTGTGCCAAATAGCACCTCCATCATACCGAGGCTGGATGGAGGGGAATATTGTGACCAAGTGGAATTTCACACAAAACTGGCCAAGACACTCCCAGGTGAGATCTTCTAACAACAGTTTCTCCATCAGTCAACAAATTAATAATTCTATGAATTTTGCAAAAAATGTCTATTTTGTTTTCCTGGACAGACGTTATGCTTGATCCACACTGTTCAGGATACAGAAGACAGCAAATCATCATTACTAGATAAAAACATTACTTTAGCTCCTCTGAAGTCCACTGCATCACGTCACTTAATGTAGTAAGTGGAGCTGATAAAATGGACAATGAGCGTAGAAACAAGGAGGTGGTCAGAATGTTATGCCTGATCGGTGTATAATCACTAATATTGTATTAATATTATTTGTGTATATGCATATATTCACACACACACACATATACACATATATATACATATATATATATATATATATATATATATATATATATATATATATATATATATATATATAGGCCACTTTTTATGTTTTGTTTGCTTCAAAATTCATCTGGGACATCTGGGACCAAACCCAATATAACAAAAGCTATTTATTTTTTTGAAAACAAGAAATCCTGCTAACTTTTTACTATATTTGTGTTTATTTGCATTTATTCTACTGATATGGTTTTCTTACAAGCATAAACACAATTATTGCCAAGATAAGTGATTTTAATGTGCTTAGGTGACTTTAGCACCGTACTGTACAGAGTGTCTGTAATAAAAGGTCAGGGAGTTTAAGTATAATGTAGGTGTTTCTATTACAGTGGTGAAAACTTACCTTTTCAACCTTGTCATAGTTTTTAGCCTTGATCTGTGGACAGATTTCAAAACCACCATTAATAAAACATAGAACTGTGTACAGAGTTGGGTACAGTATGAGAAAAGTCATTGATTATGACACAAGCATTCAAAAGCACACATGCGCACACTCTCACAGACTCCCTTTAAGATCAACAATGTGAAATTCATACAAAACCTCATTATCACGCATTATAAAACCTTGCCCTGCATAAAGATGCAAGGTTCTTCTCCCTTCCCCATTTTTCTCCCAGGATAATCCCTCGATTTCACAGCCAATAATAGCAGGAACAGTAAGATACAGTCTTTTTTGTGCTTTGCTGACGCAACTTTGTGAAACTTACAGCTGTTAAAAATAGGAAGCGGGACCCAGAACTTTGCAGCTCCCCTCAAAACAACGTGTGAACAATGTAAAAACATTTTTCAGACCCAGCCTAGCCATATTAAAATGACAGTAGGTGACGCCTGGAGGGGCTTCACTAATGAACTCAACATGTTTGAGTACATTATGCTGCCAAATGTGCTGGATTGTTTAAGTGGGTCACAAAACTAAACTGTACAGCACAGTCAGGGCAGGTTTTTTCTTCTTTACATTAAAGAAATAGGGACACGCTGCTGTCAAGAGTATGGTGACAAAAGCAATGCATTAAATTTACTTGATTCAAACACGTACCTCATTTCCACATAAATAATATATATTACTTTTGGCAATAACAATCTATATATTTTATTCCCTTGGAAATGAGGTACCCATCTGAATCCATTTCATCATAATTCATACTTCCATGTGTTCACACATCTGAAAACTGAGGAAAGTGCACAGTTCAGAGAAGTCAAAGATGATGCAAGTATTCATGCATGCATATGCGGTGGGGGTAAAAACAGCATAAAAGCTGGAACTGTGGCAGGAAGCCCCCTTAGAAAGCCTGTGGAACAGAAGGTCTGAACATGCTCCTTATCAATCTCTACAATACAAATCAAGACACCATCTGCGAGGCAGCATACAAGAGATTATGTGTAATATTTTATTACATTATAGTGCTAAACAGCGTTAATTCAAAGCCCAACATCATAATCACAATCTGATGAGCCAGGATACAATTTCACCAGTAAAAAGGAATTTATATTTTATTGGTGTTTCACTTTTATATCACCTTGGTGCATCACAAAGCTTTAAAGGAAATGTGACTAAGCACTAAAAACAAATAAGAAAACATCAGTATGGGCCAGTGCTTATATTGGATCATTTCCATATGCGTATGTTGATGCAGATGCCAATTTACACACTAGGAGTGGGAAATAGGACAATATTTTATTGTATCATGACATCACAATATGCCACAATACGCTTCTCTGGGTATTTTGTGGTAATTACAACTATCTGACTAACTGCATGTCTTTACCAAGTGAGCATTAGTCCTATTCATCTGGATTTAGTGTAGCGCATTACTGAATATCATTTAATAATTTTTTTTAAAAATGCAAAACTGCTGGTGCACTACTAATACCAGCATATCAAACCTTAGACAAATTAAATATCATGATATATATCATGCATCATGACAACTGTTTCAAGTATTGTGTATCGCCAACCCCTAAATTACTGATTTATGAAATGTGGAAATTGGGACGAGATGCGTTTAAACATTTATTTGTAGACCAGTGTTTCCCAATCCGGTCCTCAGGGCTCTCAAGACTGTCCACATTTTCCCTCTATCCCAGTGTGTTGTGAGTTTGGCTGGAACAAAAATGTGGACCGTCTGGGCGGCCCTGAGGACCAAGCTGGGTAACACTGTCTAAAGAGAGAGACGAATGTAGTAAAATTAATAAAATGCATGAGCAGCTCAATGTGGTCTAAACACTCTACACTCTTAAAAAGATGGTTCTTCAAGGGTTCTTCAGACAAGAAAATGGTTCTATAAAGAACCATGAACACTCAAAGAACCCTCTTAATGATTAAAAGATCATCATTGTGAAAGCATTCTTCAGATTGATGAAGAATGTGCTGTAGATGGTTCTATAAAGAACCTTTTTGAAAAAGGGTTCTATATAGCACCATAAAGGGTTCTTCTACTGTTACACGCTTAACATCGTAACAACAGAAGAACACTTTTGGGTGCTACACAGAACGTTTTTCAAAATGTTCTATATCGAACCATCTACTGCACATTCTGAAGAAACCTTTTATGATGCAAAGAAACCTTTAATAGTGCCAGGAGTTCTTTGAGTGTTCATGGTTCTTTATAGAAACATTTTCTTTACTAAAGAACCCTTGAAGAACCATTTTTAAGAGTGTACCTGTCCAGTTTTGAAATACCAACACAGATTCCAGTATCATCCTGTATCCCTATGAATAAATGCTATCAGCACACAAGCACATGTCTTTTCATCAACCTGCACTTTAAAAAAAGTTCTTCAAGGGTTCTTTAGTAAAGAAAATGGTTCTATAAAGAACCATAAACACTCAAAAGAACTCTTTTCATAATTAAAAGTTTCTTTGCATTGTGACAGGGTTCTTCAGACTGATGTGCTGTAGATGGTTCTATACAGAACCTTTTGGAAAAGGGCTCTATATAGCACTAAAAAAAAGGGCTCTGTTATTGTTTTAATGTTAAGCTTGTAGTGACAGAAGAACCATTTTTGGTGCCATATAGAGCCCTATACAGCATATTGTCCCTCAATCGTAAGAACCCTTTCACCACGCAAATAACCATTTAATCATGCAAAGGGTTCATTGAGTGTTCATGGCTCTACTTAGAACCACTTTCTTTACTAAAGAACCCTTGAAGAACCTTTTTCAGTGTGTACTGCACTGTTGCAAAGTTCCAGAGTAAATGCTTTTGGATCAGTGAGTGAATGTGCGCCAGCAATTTTCCCAAATAAGACCACTTCAACTGAAATCTGAGACTCCATCGTTCAGTTCCCTCTAAAAATAGCACAAACAAACAAAAAGAGACAAACCCTCCAGCACTTTATAGCCACAAATACCCGAGGACCTGACGTCACTCGGCACCCTCTTCCAGCATTCCTCAACTAAAAGTGAGCACACAGTATTCATCACAAATAAAGCAAAACACTGTAGTATTCACTAAAAAGACCAACTAACAGAATAATCACCAAAAAGCACCCAAAACAGTGTCTGATTATGAAGATGAGATCTGATTAGATGTTATCTACGCAATGCTGATGAGGGGAGCGTTTTATCTGGGCCTCATCCACTTTAACAAATCTCTCTCTCTCTCTGAAAAAAGGGAGCACATTATTTATGTGAATTGTTGTGGAAAAGCTACAAAGCCAAGATTTCTGAGATTCAAAGCTCTCATTTTCTGAAGTTTAGTCAGACTAATTTGAGCCTGAGAGCTGTGAAAGCACAGTTTATGGACACTCATAGCTCCTAAATACAGAAGGGCAGGTAAACAGTTCAATATTCCCTATTGAACTCAAAAGTAAAGCACAAAAGTAAATCATATTTACTTCTTAATTAACACTAATGTCACCCAAGAGAGTGGGATAAAGTGTAAACCTGAGGAATAAACACAAAGTCACCAGTCACACTTTGTCAAATGTGCTCTCACACACTCGCACGCAGCCCCACAGACACAAAATTACCCAATGATTAAACAAATTTGTATTGATTGTCAACCAATTTTATTACTGAAAAGAAAAAGAAGTTAATTCAGTGAGTCAAACACATGGTTCTGACAGAAGTGTGGAAGCAGCTGAATGGGTTGCAGAGCAGGTGAGGTTAAACACATGATCAGCCACTAAAAACATGCCTCAAATTTTATCTAAATGTGTTCAATTTTTCCAGACATATTGGTCTTTCTCTAACATTACAGGTCATGTGCATTTGCACCAATGCAAAAGTGCATATTTCAATGACGCAAGCTCAGACAGTCTGAGTTACACTAACAGTTGTGTACATGAGGGGGACAAGTATCATCAATCAGAGTGATTTACAGCCTGTCGACTGCTGAATTAACTCCATAACTTCCCAAAACATGACGTATGACACCACCTCGTGTGTTAGAATGTGCGTGTCTGGGATATTAATGAAGAATCAAAGACAGATTGAAACAGACAATGCTATCGAATGATAGTGGAAAAAAGCTGTCAAGGCAAATTTGAAAAAACAAGCATGCAAATATGCAAAATAATAATAAAACACACAACTAAAGAGCATTCTGGATTCTATACTTTCAAAAACACCCACAAAGCCAGGCCAGAGGGTATAAGCTATCTTTATTTCCTATTTGGTATTAATAGTTGGGTTGTTTTAGTATTTCTATAAATCGGGGTAGTTGTACAAATCAACAACAGGCAAAGTGCATCTGGATTAGGCCAAAACAACAAATCAACATGAGGACAGAAATCATAACTTTCTGGATGGTGATACAAAGTCCAGAAGATAAAGGTCATGAAAACCTAAATACAGACGGCACAGATGAAAATCGGTCTTGGGTTGATATTGGCAGAAAATGTTGGATCAAAAGATCAGATAAAAGAATGAATGCAGGCCAATTCTGTAAAAAATCCTGACATAGCGCTCACTCACACTGTGTGATGTGATGTTAGCCATGAGGTTCTTCCCGTGGGGTAGAAGAGTGACAGTATTTGTCGATGCTCATCTTAAGTAAACAGCTTCAATTACAAGGTAGGTAAAACTTCATTTTAAATAAGAAATACTGAATATTATTGGCATTGGTCAACACTCAAGTTTCCAATATTGGAAAAGCAAAATTGGTTCCGTGCCATCTCTAAACCTAACAATTCAGCTATGCCATCTTTCCACACTTTATCATACAGAAAAGTGCAGACTGCACTGGACTGACTTTTTGGGCTTTCTCGGAGACTGATTAACCCGGGAGTGGCGAATTTGTCCAGGAAGGCCGGCGTCTAGAATGATTTAATGCCACTTATCTGCTGATTTGAATCAAGTGAGTACGAAAATAACCAAAGCGTGCTGGACAGCAGTCCTCCACCTCTAATTTCCACTCATGGATTAAGCGTAGCCTAAATTGAGGCACCAATGTCAATTCTTTTTAGTGTAGGATTGGGCTTAATCTGGGTCTGGGAAACCGGCTCTCAGAGACATAACAGGACCGCTGAGCAGCCGATGCTTTTTAGTCTACGATTGGGCTTAATCTGGGTCTGGGAAACCGGCTCTGAGAGTCATAACAGGACCCCTGAGCAGCCTATGGTTTTTAAATATCAAGTGTGGCATCGGCCTCTCCCCTCCAAGTACATCCAACTTTGCCTGTCTATGTTTTCCTAATAACTGACTCACTGGATTAATACATTTATGTCCTAAAGCATATATCAGACTCCAGGCCTCCAAGCAACGGCACTGCAGACCTTCTAGAGTTATCAGAAGAGGAAAAACGCTAATCTCTACAGAGCTGCGACCTGGTTTGTGACCCAGTTTGTCACTCCTCTCCTAAAGAGTTTAGTGTTGTTTATTTAGTGTTGTCAGTCAAACATAAGCTATGCTCTTAAAATAGATGGCGCTTCAAGGGTTCTTTAGTAAAGAAAATGGTTCTGTACAGAACCATGAACACTCAAAGAACCCTTTTCATGATTAAAGGGTTCTTGGCATCATCAAATGGTTCTTCAGATTGATGGAAAATGTGTATGAATGTGCTATACAGAACCTTTTTGAAAAGGGTTCTTCTACTGTTACAAGCTTGCAATCATAACAGAACCCGTTTGGCTGCTATATAGATATAAAAAGGACCACAGGACATTCGCCATCAATCGGAAGAACCATTTCATGATGCAAAGAACCCTTTCAATCCTTTGAGTGTTCATGGTTCTATATAGAACCATTTTATTTTTCATGAAGTATCCTTGAAGAACCATACTTTTTTTAAGACCCCAACATCTGTGGAACTTAAGCTCTTCTATTATGACTCCCAAACAGTGACAGAGCAAAAAATGTGGAGTCCCTGAGGAATCGTTTGAGAACCACTGCAGTAGTGAACTCAACTTTGCATAAAAATCTGGAAAAAAAAAGTCTATTCCTCGAGCAATTTCTGGTTTAGGATCTCGCTCATGAGATTTGAACACAGCCCATTTGCCCCTGGTGAACCAGGAATGGTCCAGCCTTTTTATTATTTTTTTTAATAAAATAAATATACAAAACATATTTTGGTTCCTGGCACAGCGCCCTGACCCGCTGAGTCTCTGCTGCTTCATAATTCAGATTCCAAAATGAGATAGCGGTATGTTCACAGGACAAAGTTCTGCCTGAGGCCGAATTAATATTTAAACAAGTATTTTAATGAAAAATTTCTGTTCCAACCTGGAGCACAAATTAAACTGAGGGTAAAATGTACAAACCATGCATGTTCGATGTTAGTTGTGACATACTTACCATTTTAAGCTCCATTCTTTGGAAGCAACAACTTACTGCTGTAATGAACACTCGTTTTAAGCCTGGCCAAGTGTTGACTATCTCTGTGGCATTAAGGGCCCTTAAAATTAACGGCTTCACTTCAAATCAGTGTTGTGTGGTTCAAAACTGCCATGTACCTCACATCTACAATGTGTGGAACGGACAATGATCTGACTCCAATCTTACATGTTGGGAGAACTGAGAGCAGACACTACTGAAAATAGCTCCTGACACTAATATAAAATATATACTGCAAATTGGCCATATATACTGAAATAGGCCAAGGAACAAATAAAGTGTTAATAGGGACAGATCTATTTGCAGTGTTCACACATATAATCCACAATGACCTCAAAGAAATGACACAGGAGGCAAGAAATTGACACAACAAGTGAATAAAAGGCTAAAGCACTTCAATACTATTAAAATAGTTTTAATGCTGTTGCAGATAAAACATGCAACAATATGAACTTAACCTTATAAAACTGAAAAAATAATAATAAAAAAAAAGAATGAATTCAACCCCCTCCCACCCCACCAAGTAGTACAAGCTGTGACAAAAGTGACTACCACTAGTTTGAAACCTTCACGAGGGGTGTGAAAGTCACACTGTTGATCCAATTGGGAGATGTACTCTTGCACACATGAAAGTAATAAAAAAAATTGAATTGAACCTCAGCTTCAATGTATAGTTTCCAGAATCTGCCCGAACTGGGGAACTGGGCGACAAGTCTTTCATATGTCTTCCTTGCTTTGTCTATAGGTTGGTTCTAAAAGAAGTTAAAAAGCATTTACATACACAGTAAGGGAACGGTCAGTCCCAGAGATGAGTTTACATAACGACCCCACCCCACCATCCCAACGCCAACTCTCCCCCAAAATATATGTTACCCCAGGTAAAAATGAATGCAACCCTGTGTCACTAAACCTGTGCTTCTCGAATCAGTATGCTCCATGCGTCGAGGTCATATGGGTTTTCTTCCAACTTCTTCTCGGCCTTCTTCACCTTTTCTGGGATGTATTCCGCAGCCTGTAACAAAAAGAGGCCAAAAATTAAATCAGTACATGAACAACACAGCACAAAACATACAAGCCACACACACTTCTATCCGGTACAGATCAATTTCCTACCTGCAGGGAGAAACCCAAGCAGGACAGACCATGTAATCTAATAGTCGTGTCTCTTTGCGCATAAAGACCATAAATAGGGCAAATTAAAAAGTGAGAGAAAGTATGCTTTCTGTGTTGATCTCTACACTCAATCCTAGTCCACAAAATCTAAACTCACTCATTTGCCTCTCATGATAAGCCAATTCAGCAAGCCTAAAGGTTTGGAGGTCAAACCACTGGATGACTTATGTTGAAGGCCTCATTCAACTCTCTGTGAGGAAACCAATGAATGGAGATTTCTATGACTAAACATGAGCTATCCTGCTCTAAACTGCCCAGTGCTCGGACTGGGGCCAATAAACAAAGCGAGGAAGCATGCAGGAGCCAAAATCAGGTTTAAACTTTAACAGCTCACTGCCTGCCACTGCAAAAAACGTGAGCAGTATTGCACTGAACCAGCACAGACACCACAATACACAGCTAGAAGGCCAACAACACAGACTACAACAGAGTTTCTCTTTAGCCAACAGGGGCTAAATAAAATGACAAGCCAGCCAGGAATCTACCAATGTGACACATTACAATGTCATTTCTAAGACTGAGGAGTTTACATCGCTCATCATGGCCTTTTTTGACATGAGCTCGCTTTAACACAACGAAGCTACAGGCAGTTTAACACAGCTGAGACGAGGCAGCTGAGATGTGCAATGATCCTGAGTATGCAGCCCCTAAGGAGACATTGTGATTATTTTTAACAAGGCGTGGCCATGAACTAATATACTGAGGCCACGAGTTACTATATTGAGCACAATTTACTTTACTGAGGCCACAAGTTATGAGAAACTTAACTCGTGGCCTCAAAATAGTGTGGTCACCGCCTTATTAAAGAAAAAATCATCACCATGTCACCTTAGGTGCTCTGTAGGAGAAAGAGTGTGAAAATCTGCATTAATATTAATATCATTAATCTTTGCTTCGAACCGTGAAAAACATCAAAACATCGCCGGATCGCAATGAAGCCCGACAACAGCGTGTTTATCGACTCCGCTGTTAACCTGGCAAACGAGCTCAGCTGCCTCATCCAAACACGGCTATTTTTAGCAGTCAGACAGATTTCTTACGTCCTGGCACATTTTTGACATCTTAATATTACAAAATTAACCAAAAAACAGCCAATAATCCACCGTGACGGTGATTAGTTACTCGCGCTGAGCTCATTATTAGCTTGCTTGCTAACTTGCACCACAACAACGCTGCCGTTATCCAGCCCACAAACGCACACATTTAATGCAGCTTATTACAGCATATAAACAATATATATATGTGTGTTTTACCTGGTCTGGGGCGCCTTCCGCGGACATTATTAATCTCTATGTTTTATTATTTGAGAGATTTCCAGCCTCCTGCTCTTCAGAGGCTCCCCTAAAATGGCGAGCTCGCCCACTTCCGCTGCCTCAGGAAGTGTGCGAGGTGACAGGGCGTTTATTTGTTTATTTAATCTCAGCTCGATTTATCTTGTGCCTCAAATCGACCCCTTGTTCCAGATGTAGTAAAGTGACTTAAAGCGCAAGAAAAATACAAAAAACTACTCAAATAAGACGCACTTAGAGTGTAAGCTTTACAACAAATCCTGACGACTTTTAACTAGCGCAGATCTACACATCATAAACCGGCAGAGTCAGTCAGAGACACTGTTTTGAAGATCAATGAAAACTCTGCTGTTTCTCTGGCGCTTTTTTAAAAAGAGTCTGCTCTTTTCCTTTTTTAAAGATTTTTTTTTCTCATTTAAAAAAATTAATGTAACTTTAAAGATTAAGTTACTTTAAATAAAGCAATATCAGTAGCAGTAGGTACCTGCAACAACATCAACAACTGATAACAGATCGTTAAATAACGCATAGTCTGCGTTGAGGACCTGATCTTCAAATCATCCCGCACCAGAAACTCCGTGTGAGCATGTTGTGTAGATCAACTGACTGCGTTCGTAAAAGTCCAGTTAAAAGAAAAAATGACTGAAAAATGCATCGCATGTATACAAATTAAATTAATTTTAGCCTCTATATTTTTGAAACAGCATCTATCAAAATATCATTTTTTTGTATATTGCTTTTTCATTTTTAAGCATCTTTCAAGCTTCTTTTCGTACATATTTACTATCGTGAGTACTTAGTTTGTGCCTGCTTGACTGTTTTTCATTTAAATAGCAGAGTTCGTCATTAACTACTAATCGTTTTTAACCTACAGCTTTGATTTTTTTTTATTAATGTTACATTTGGTCATTTAAAAATATTATTGTATTTTTTTATTATTTCGTATTACATATAATGTTCATAAACTTTTGCGCATGTTTGACTGTTTTAACAATATATTTCCCATTAACTGTTGAACATTTTTATTTTTGATTTTTTTCAGTTCTACTTATTGTTACTAAATTGAGAAATTGTAAATTAATAATGATACAAATGTATTCCTGTTCCCCGAACATAAATGTAATTTGTGCATTAAAAATTTAAAAGTAAAGGCAATTTAATATGAATATGTTCGAGATAAATAAGCCACTATATCGCAACAGTTTGTCAAAAACAAAACAAAACAAAGGTTTTACTTTATTATTTTCAATCAGGCTCTTTTTTAGACTCCGTCGGCCGTTATGTTCCCAGGATGCCGTTCGGCCGCCCTTTTCCTCCATCTTTGTTATCGTATCAGGCAGGTAATTTCCGACCCGGTTTAAAAAAATCACTTTTTAACAAAATACGAAGAATAATGGAGTCTAATATTTATGAAAACTTATAGTTAAACGTTCATATTTCATATACGACCGAGTTCTGTTGCGTGTAAACACGCGATGCCATAGATTTGTAGAGGATTGTTGAGCTGAGCTGAGCCGAGCCGAGCCAAGCCGAGACTGGTTTCCTTTCTCGGCAACAAACCGTCACTAAATTTAAAAACTCTGAATATTATTCTCCTCTTCATAGTTAAACTCGTACATTTCTTTGATTTAAAAGGAGCAGGTTATATAATGCTTGGGCTAGACGTAGCTATCGCTACACATGGCTGATAGTGTAGCGTCGGCTAACGCTTATTAACATGCGCCGAAATGTGTTATAAATGCTAGTAACTACGTTATACCCGTCATGTATTCAGATTAATCAGCTTTAAAGTGAAGTTTTGGTGGCATAAGAGTTAAGAATGTGGTTGGCTGGTAAACTGCTGGCTTTATTTGCCTGTTTCTGGCAAAGTGAGGCACTTTCTAGTCATATTGCATCCCGTGTCTTCTCTCTGAATGAGAAATAAGGCAATATTTAATCGTTATCGAGATAAATAGTACTACAGTTTGCATTTCTGAGTATATTGTGAAGATTTCTAGAACCTAAGCCGCACCAACAGCCTGTGTTTTTACACAGAGTGCATAATTAGTCCTGGTTAATGGGATTTAGTGCAGGGCATGGTCTGATGTTGAATGAAAATCACTGTATAATCATTCATATTTATAATGATCTCTGTTTTTGTGGCACTGCTGGGGCTTTTTGTCTGTTCAAGTTTATCAAACATCGCTGCTGTTGGAACAAAACCTTATATCTCCATTTTTGTCGTTTTTCAGTTTTTGACATCATTTGAAAATACCTGTTGCTCTTAACATTGTGTGTAAATTTCATGACGAATGGAAGAAAAGAAACTACCCTAAATTATTTGGGGAAAAAGTCTGGTTCCATTGCCTTGCATTAAAAGTAAAGTGTGCATTTTCCTCCTTCTGTAAATTTACTGTTTTGGGGATACGAGGTTCCGACAGCAGCGATATCCATTCCACTTATCAAGAACATAATATTGTCATGCTGTGTTTTTGCTGTATCGCCCACCGTTAATGTTCTATCATTATGATTTTTTGTTTTCTAAAGGTTTTCTGAGCCTGGGCAAAAGAGATCACAATGCCTGGAAGGTTAGTAGCTTTTAAAGCTGTAATTTGGAGATTGCAGTGAATGTGAATGGAGACTTTGTTCATTATTGTCAGGGGTGGACAGAGTAGTCTAAACCTGTGTTTTTTAACCCTGGTCCTGGAGGCTTCACTACATCTTAGTGCTGTTCCTGCTTTAACACACCTACTTTAACTCAATAATGGACTGTTAATAACCTTGTTAGTTGAATCAGGTGTGTTGGGAGCAGGGGAAACAGTAAGAAGTGCAAGGCAGTGGGCCTCCAGGACCAGGGCTGAGAAACACTGGTCTTCATCCATACTTGGGTAGAAGATTGGCAGCTTCTGTGAAATAGTAACAAAAGCAAGAGTTTCTCAAAAATAACTAGTGTTAGTACAAAAGTCAGATTAACAGTGCCTGATTACTGGGTAACTTGGAGAAATTCAGAGCTTCTTAGTATATTCAACATCTGTCAGCATGGGAGCTGAAGTCTCTTTTTGGATCCTTTTGGTCTAAAAGAAAATGTTTGAGAAGTTTGACCATTTGCAAGACTACAGATACTGTCAACATAGCAGATTGAAATTCAGCACAGTAGGAATAGTAACTAAATATTAGTGATTAAGGTATAAGGTGTATAAGGGGTATAAGGAGTGAAAAGTAGATTATTTTTTTCATGAATATTCTTAGAAATAAAAGCCTCTCAGTATAAATGTTTCTAGTTATGATCCACCGCTGATTTTGAACTTGTACTGATGCTGCTGGTAACATCTTGCTGTGGTTGCTTCTCTTTCAAGGTTGTGGTGCAAGGCTATCTTTTCTGGATACAAGCGTGGTCTGAGGAACCAGCGCGAACACACTGCCCTGCTGAAGATAGAGGGAGTGTACACCCGTCAGGAGGTTGACTACTACCTGGGCAAGCGCTGTGCCTATGTCTACAAGGCAAAGAAGTAAGTAGTTCATGTGGAGTGTTGCGTTAATGTAATTTAGCTGTCTCGTTGACACAAGGGGTCTGCTATCCTGGGGCAAGGTTGAGGTTTGTCTAGATGCCTCATTTTATACAGCAGTTGCTCCTTGCACTGTAAAACAGATGGATAAGTTCTTCTTAAAGGGCATATTTCCTATGTTTTTCTTGTATTTATTTTTCCTTGAGGTCCATGACATTTGTGTGGCTTTATGTAATAAAACCAGCCATAGTTCATTTTTATATGACCCTTATACAGCCTATTCATAAACAATGCAGGCACTGTGGAGGAACAGAACATCTGTCCAGGGACTTGAGAATATTCTCATGGTTCTTGTTTTAGTTTGCTGAAACAGTTTTTCTTGACAGGTTTTACATGGTTGACATGCACATCTGTGATCTGGCGTCTTTCATAGTCAAATCAGGCCAAATTCAGGGATGGTTTCGGTCACACTAAGATGATCTAGTGTCCTTTAAGTATCACTTAATGTTATAGGTTTAGAACAAAGATAGGTGAAGAACAAAAATGCACCCGTTTTCAATGTCATCGAAACACAAATATAGAAAAAAATGAACCAAAATAACTTGTTACAGATGCAGCAAGTCAGTATGAAAGAACTTCTGAATGTAGTAAATCAGTTTGGGTGATTACACTGTCACTATCGCTCTTGACCTGACAGCATGAATGCACTCTTTCATAGATAAAAAGAATCACTACATTATGGAGCTGCAGCAATCGTCTCAACCCAAGAGCGTTCAGCCACTAATTGTGTATTTTTCCACCATTGTTTATTGACATGTCTGTATACACTACTTAATGTGTAGATCATCTGTTGATTAATGTTGTAGTTATGATGCTTCTGTTACTTCTCTTCATTTTCAGATGTTACTTTAAACATAGTGTCCCCGTCAGTGCATAAAATGTCCCTGACTTTCAGTAAGCGAGGGCTAAAATTGCCCAAATTAACAGTTCCTACCTGTTTGTGGTGCACAGTTGCCTTGTAAGTAGTTGTTACACAATGCTTTTGCAAGTATTACACAAAACAGTCATTGTGGATAATATGCAGTCCCAACAGCTTAACATAAATATTGATGTTAATTGAATTGGAACGCTAGTCTCTGTGAAAGAAACAGGTTTTAAACTTTTGGACCTCATTGTTCAAAGCAGACTTGGTCTGATAACTTGGACTAAAAGCCTTTCTAATAGCAGAAGAACTGAGGAGCATTAATACTGGACACTTCTCAACTTACCCCCTGGTTTCTGGAGAGGCTGTTTAAGAGGCAGTTGCTCCCTCCCCAACATTTCTTTGTTATTGGTTTGGTTAATTGTCGTGGTTAATTTAGGCTTTGTGTTATTTAATGATGTGTTTTGTAAGACTATCCCAGCTCCCGAGTGACAGGTTCACATTTAAACTTTTGTATGTTGTATTTTAACCAATTAGGTCCATTATAAGACATCAGCTTTTGCCCTTTTTGTCACGGGAGTGGTTGTGTATTGTGGAGCTTCGGATGAAGTTAGTGTTAAAGAGGCACCTTGTGGTTTGAAGACAAAAGAGAGGATTCTGGGTGGGATAGGGGTTAAATGTGTTGGCGCTGTCCTTCGTATAGAACTGTAGACAAGTCTTCAGTAAATTCAGACAGACTCTGATTCAGTGATTTAGATTTAAGCTCACTGTTTGTAGCAGAATCAAAAAATTCTGTGTAGACTTCAGTGTGGATTTGTATAATTTTGGGTCGCATGGATTGTGTATCAATTTCTCTGCATACCAAACGTCCTTTCGCAAAGCTTGCAAGCAGCGAACAGACAGTTTGCTTGTTTACTCGCTGAAGTACAGGACATTTTGCCAAGGCTGAAACGTTTGTCTGTACCTGTTCTGTTCTAATGGGGATTTCTTTGTTACTGTCTCCGTAGGAACACAGTGACTCCTGGAGGCAAACCCAACAAGACTCGCTGCATCTGGGGTAAAGTCACACGTGCTCATGGCAACAGTGGGATGGTGCGTGCCAAGTTCAGCAGCAACCTGCCTTCAAAGGCTATTGGGCACAGAGTACGAGTGGTAAGTCGGCTTTGGCCAAAGGTGCCACATTCTGTTTCCTAGTTCGTATGGGTTTGTGTGAAGATGCACGCTCCTACATGTTTATCATTAAGCATCTTTTTTTAAATTAAAACCTAAAAATATTTTTAAAAAAAAACATGCCGCCATAAACAGTAACCATTGAATTTATTACTTATGGTGCTAAAATTGAGTTGGAGTCCAGTTATAAGCTGTTGAAATGGATTTACCCCAACTGTTTTGTTTTGTTGGTCAAAATTGACAGCACAATTTCCTAAATTCACTGCAGATCATATATTTGACAAACTCTTTTATTAAAAAACTTATTTTAAGTGTAAAAAATGCTTATTGTGGATTGTTTGTGAGTAAGAGGTAAACGTTTAGCTGAAGGTTAAATTAATTAGCCATGCATATTCCATTTGGAGCTGTAAAGAAAGTGCTGAAACTATTGTAGGCTGTTTTTTTTTTCCATAAAAGGCACAATTCTGCATCCAAGCTGGAGAGAAATGGAGGCGTATTGTAAATCCACACAGGATAGTATTGCATTCCATTGCATCAATAAGGATGCATTGATTTTGTCTGTAGTAGTATTATGTGGAACATATTCTTGGTTATTGTGGGCTGATATTGTCACCTAAATCCCTAATTCATTCAGCAGTAAGTTGATAGATGTTGCAGGTCACGTCTTTGCGTTGATGGGAGCAGTCTGCATTTGCATCACTTAAGCGCTGAGTGCTTTTTCTGTCTTCAGTAGCTTTGCCATACGCATATGTAAAGGGGAACGATTTAGCTTTGAACTTGAATTGTAATTTTTTTGAATTACATTGTACCAAGTCTGTCAGTTGACCTTGTTAATCATGCAACTATTTATTTCAAAAGTTCTCATCAGTGTAATACTAAATTGTTTTTCTCTTTGTTTTTCAGATGCTGTACCCATCCCGCGTCTAATGTGCTTTTGTGTACATACAATAAAAAAATGTTGGTCACACTACTGTCTCGCGTTGAGTATTTAACTACAAAGGAAATAATTGAAGTCTGCTTTCTTTTAACATTTATGCAGTATGAATTATTAAATATTAGCCCAGTATTGGGTCAACACAGCACATTATGGGCATTGATGCATTAAAATGATACCTGTAGTCTCATGAAGTAACAGTGATTGTAGTGCCTTCCATATTATAATAATACATTAAAATGCAATCTATAATTTTTCGGTGAGCTTGTCACATTAGTGGGAGGGGGTGAGGAATGGAGGTCACAATTAGGTTGATTTTGATCATAGTTTAGTTTTAGGGGAGCTTGTTTAACATTAAAATTATATTGTGGTGCAGTTTCAACATTGTATTTGCAAAATTGCTTTATGGCTTTTGTCAAAGCTATAGATATTTCATTTGTTAGTGCTTAAAATGTTCAGCCTGGGATTTAACTTTTCTGTGGGGTATAACAGGCTTACGTAACGTGCTAATCTGTGAGGCTGAGGCAACAAGCTGGTGTGGCTCACTGACTCGTCAGTCTTGCTTCTACAGCCTTTCACTGTGCATATTTGTTTTGCTTGATCTGACAGTCATTTGAAACTCATTAAGTATTTGGTAGTGAGCTGGGTTAAGTCAGGTGCATTAAAGCCGGGAAACAGTGAAGTATGTAGGACATGTCCTAAGACAGTACTACTGGGAACCACTTCACTCATAGAAACCAACTGCCAAGCCTGTCATCAGATAAAAATGGGTGTGTTGGAACAGGAAATGGCAAAATTTGTGAAGCAGAGATTAATACAGGAGCAGTACTGACTTATTATTGTAAATTATTATGGTTATTCTTTTCATAACGTTGAAATAAATGTGGTTAAAGCATTAAAATGTGCTGTAAAGGGGTTTCACTCAGGAGCAGGATCGATTTATAGCCGTTACAGACACCTATAAAAGTACTATGCGATAATAATATCTTTTATGGCCATTTTTAAAATGTGAAAATGCAAAAGAAAACCTGTAAGAGATACAGAAACGTGTCGGGACATGCAGCAAACCAGAAAAACACATTTTAAGTAAAGGAAGAGAGATTTTTTCTTCTTTGAGTCAAGCTCCGCCCGTTCACCGTTCATCCTCTACGCACGTCAGGGCTTTGTGGGTAGTGTAGTTCTTTACAGTACGCGCGGCAGAGCAGCGAGTGACAAGAGAAACTACAATTCCCACAAGCGCTCGTAGCTGGTTAGCGCAAATAGATGGTTTATAACGAAGTTGTTTTGCTTCATCCTGCTTGTTGAGGATCTGCGGACCAACAAGAAAAGACACAGGTAACAGATGATGGGTTTTATCTGTGCTTAAATACAGAATTGTTATGTTTATACTAGACTTACATATTAGACGATTGTTGGGAGACCGGCACCAGCATCTTAATCAGTCCAGTGAAATCTGAATTTATTTCAGATTTGAACATCAGATGTGGAAAATTTGAATTATGCAAGAATACAGAGATAACCAGGGGTAATACAGCTACGGTAGACCAGATTATGTGCATATATTAGCCTTCTGTATCTTGACATTTAGGCATTTGAAACATAGCAGTTCCCTTTAACGTAAACTGATGACTGCTCTGTGAAGGAAGACGAGCAGTCGCTCAGAAACGTCTCTAGTTTCTGTAAAAGAAAAAACGTCTTAAAAGACGAATAAAATCGAGATGAATTCGGCTTCCTATCCTTTCTTCTTGTTCGAATTTTCCCGTTCCACCTTAAATGCTGCCGCAGTTACATTCGAGCCTCAGACGCCAGAATGGAACTGCTGCACCATTTAAGGTGGAACGGGAAAATTCGAACAAGAAGCCGGAGAGCAGAAAGGGAACCAGAGCTTCGTACAAATAAAGGGGCTGTTTTTCTGTGACGCCTTTTGTGTGATCGGGAGGTAAACAGGCTGATCTGATTTTTGTCTCCCTGATTGGAAATCATCACAGACAGGATAAGCTGAATAGCAGACGATCAGTTTGCTTTAGATAACGCAGTCTGGGTGAAAAGGGCCAGCGCTGAATGGTTCTCCTCTCTGCCGCTGCTGCTTTTTACAGACCTGTTCTTCTGGACATCCGGAACTGTTTGTACCCTTCAGATGATCAGGATGAGGGGGTGAGAGTGGTTTAACAGGGAAGCGTTAAGTAGAGTGATGAAAAACAGGATATATCTGGTGTCAGTTCACTTGGGCTTATGGAAATAGTGTTTTTTGGAGGTGCTTGTTCAGTTCAGAGCTGATCAGAAGGCAAATATAATCATACTAGTGGATTACTAGACATTTGTAATAATACAAAGTCCCATAGAAGTGTAATATTGTACATCTGTCTGAGTAATAATAATATTAATTCGCTTTATAATGATGTTACAATTATTCAGTTATGTTTTTACTATTTTTTTAAATCTTTTTTTCCTTTTTAAAGAATAAGCTCACATTAAACCCAGCGTACTAATATGATTGTTATGCATTCTTACTAATAAAAGACTCTAACATTAGAGGAAATAATCCTATACACTTAAACAAGTGGGTCCTTCAAGGTTCTTTAGCAAAGAGAATGGGTTAAAGGGTTCTTTGCATGGTGAAATGGTCCTTCGGACTGATGGAGAATGTGTTCTTTTGGTTCTTCTGTTGTTTCGATGTCAAGCTTGTTACAACAGAAGAAACCCTTTCAAAAAGGTTCTATATAGAACCATGTACAACACATTCTCCGTCAATCTGAAGAGCCATTTCACCAGGCAAAGAACCATTTAAGCATGGAATAGTTCTATATAGAACTCATGGTTCTAAAAAGAGCCATTCCGTTTACTAAAGAACCCTTGAAGAACCCTTTTTTTAAGTGTATATGTCTAAATAATATCACCAACAATATTCATTCCCTTCATGATGATGATGACCGTTAAATTCAATTTACAGCTTTTTATTGCGGCTTTAAAATGATATTCCAGCGCTGATTCTCTTCACTGGTATTTTACATGGGCATTGGCTCAAAGTGTGCGCATGTCATAATTGTGTGGATTTCTGAAAGATAAGGCAGATATCAGAATAATCTTTGCAGGTGTCTAGCGTAACCTCTCTTTGTTGTGGTCTTTGTGGATCTGATGACAGATAAAGCTCAGATAAGGCGCTCCTATGTTGGTAAAAGAAGATGAAAGAGCATGATTTGGGAAAGGACTGCCTGGCCGCTGGTTCTGGCTACAGGGCCGTTCCTTCCAGAGACGTCTTACCTGGAAACGAAGTGGACCACTATCAGCTCTCCAACGTCCAGGTCAGTCTGAAAGATTCTGAATTCTGTTAAAGGTCTGTGAAAACAGTCGAGGAAGGATTGGCGATAATAAGGAGGCTGTAAAGGCTTATAAAATGCTGGATTAACAAAAATAATTACACAATAGAAAAATGATGGTTGCCATGTATGCAAATGCGTCTGCTCAGTTATGAGAATATTAAACATGCTAATATGACCTTAGGAATGATCCCATCAAGGTATCTGTAAGGTCGTGGTTCAGATCTTAAAATGTGAACCAGTTTCTAAGACTGTCCGTTTTTGGAATATGCGATAGTGCTGACATAGTCATACACTGGAGTACTAAAGAACCAAATGGCCACAGCTGTTGTTTTGCGCTTGGACATGGTGTTGTCCTGCTTTGTTTTTGTATTGCCCCCCCCCTTTTTTGTCCCCTTTTCCTCTCACCGTCAGCGTTTTGTCAGCATGTTAGGAAAGGGTCTTCTGTTGCCCTCCGTTTCCCTTTGTCTTTCACTGTCAGCCCCGTCTCTCTCCCTCTCTCCCTCTCTCTCTGTCTACCTACCGCTCAGTATTCCACTGAGGCTGCCCGGCATGGACGCTGGGCCCCCCTGATTGGCTCTTTGCTTCCTCCTGCACGCATAAGCTTGAATTGTTTACATAATCTAAGCCCGCCCACTCTGGCACAGCCAGCCAATTGTGGCTCTTGGTTCCGGTGATGCTAACAGCAGCCTTGGCTGACAACCCCCCTCAGTGTCTGGGCAGGCTGTGCGTTCGTGCAACGTGACCGCGTTTTGAGAAACGTGAGAGCTAAGAGGAAGGAGTGAGGACGGATGATGGTGAAAGGAGGCGGGGGGGGCGTCCTTGCACATGCTGAGCAGCACTGCAGAAACCTCCGGAGCATGCAAATCTTTTTCATTCACAAGGGCCAGAAATAAAGTGCGCCCCACTTTCTCATTTTTCCATTTTTGTCGGATGTGCTTTGCTTCAAGGCATGCATGTTATGCAAAGGCAGCTGTGACAGTTACAGGAATAGTTTGGGAGGAAATCAATGGTGCACAGTTTTGCCCTTTACCCCAGATTTAGTCGATCAGCAAAGACATGTTTGGTGTCTGAAGTTTCTTTAATTTTGCACTGCAGTTAACTGCACTGGAAGCTTATGTACACCAATTAGCATTGTGCAAACTCCAGGCTTAAACCATCACACTCGTCTAAGCACATACATTTGTTAGGTAGTCTCAAGACTTCTTTATGTGGTGTCTGACACCATGTGACATACCGTTGTACTAATTTCAATCACAAATGGACAAAAGTACAGACAAATTTAGCATTTATGATGTTCTTTATGTTATCTAATTTTCTGTAGCACAGCTTTGCTTCCCTCAGCCTCACTGCTTTGACAGAACCCACGATTTTGTGTCTTTTTTTGCATTTTTGTTCATCAGTATTCTCTCACTACAACACCCAGAATGCATCGTGCAAATACATTACACAACATTGATAAAGACATCTAATGACAAGGAGGCTAATAAATGCAGACGTGATTTCAGCTTAATAGAAGTAACATTAGCTATCTTCTGCTTTAGCCATCCAAGAAAGAGCTTACGCCAACCTTCTAGTGACGTCATAAGAAGGGGGTGTTTCCTCGCCTTTAAAGCAGAAGATCTCAGTTGTGGGACTGTTCGGTTACCACTGTGGGAGGCGAGTAGGCATGTTTACAGCAGATGTAACGATGGATACATTTTTCATTTTGGCTGGAGTGCCCCTTTAAGATGGCTGCTACTACTTTTTAAACTAAAAACGGACAAAAGTACAGCGGCATCTGTCTCAAAGACTAAATTTTGTTCATACAGATTGGATTTTTTGCCGCACTATTGGGGGCATAACCTATTTTCACCTCCATAAAGCTGGCGAAGCTCCCTTCATCAAAGTGTGCGTTGCAAACATGCTTGCTGACGGTCTTGGTACTGGGATGTAGACCGATCATGTGTAACCACTTGCTGGCTGAATTAGTGGGAAATACCTACATCTGTTGTAAGAACACGCTACATTCAAAAATGCTAAACAATTTCAAAAACTAAGTGTTGGCTCCATCATCAGGAGATTCTTGGTGATGCCACAGCTGTCCGTGGCTAGGACACCACAATTGGCCTCGCTCTCTCTGGGTGGGTAGGATGGCACCCCGTCTCCTTCATCACTCAACGCGATACTAGTCAGTGCAGGCGTCTGTTAGCTGACGTAACAGAACTGGCGCTTGGCACTTTTCTTCTGAGCATGTTCAGCTGTCCAGTGACGTTGCGTGAGCAGCAGTTCGAAAAGATGTGGTGGCGCTTCACAGGTCTCGGAGGAAGCCTGTGTCAGCCTTCGCCCTCCCAGCACTGATGGTATTGTGTGATTGGGGGAGTCCTAACTAGTGGGTAGAATTGGAGACAACTATATTGGGGAAAAATTGAGGGGAAAAAAAGACTAAATAGTTAATATAGCCAGCTGACTGGCTAACTTTAGCTAACATAACCTAGCTAAGACGAAAAAAACGAAAAACTACAATATCTACAAACACAATAACTCCGAACTAGCAATAATAATGAACTAGAGCACTGAATAACAAACTAAATGCGATGAGACGAAACGTATAGAAAAAGATCCGAAACGGCGCCAAGATCCAAAAGTTCTCACTCTATCTAGCCTCAAACGGTTCTTATATTTAGGGGCGCGGCACGAGTAGGGTGTCATCAGGGGGCGGTAACGTTGGTTGACTGATTTGCATACTGTGACGCGTCATCGTACTTTGATACCAAGACACGTCCTCCGCGCCTATAGCAGAGTTGAACCAGAGGGGGTGCTGCAGAGGCGGAACTGACCACAATAAAAATGATCACAGTTTGGAAAGATGTGTCCACATTTTAATCAAGGTGTATTTTATTATTACAGAGCTGTGCATTACAGCTGTTAATGAAAAAGGTCTTGGGGTGGAGCTACTCTTTAATTCATTCTTGTCGTCTAAATGTGTACATTTGATCTATTTCTGTCAGCCCTCTTATGTCATATCACTTCTATTGAGCTGTTTGTCACGACTGAGGTTGGTTGTCAGTCTTTATCGATCGTTTCGTCCTCTGCGTCAGAGCCCCTCCTGCTGATCGCTTTCAGAAGACTGCTGCACTCACCCTTTGTCGCCTAACCAAGCCAGTGACAGATTTACCGACACTGGGCTGATCCGCAGGCTCATGTCAGATTTCTGACACAGCTTATCTTATGTTATGTATGCTGAACTATTCATGCCTTTTATAAACTGTCTAGCGGAAATGTATGCATGTCATGCTTGGCTGATGTCATTTATTGCTTATATAAGATGGGGAGGGCTGTCATTGTATAATTGCCCTTCAGTTGCTGGAATAATTGGAGGTTTCAGACTGGAGGAGGAGGTCGCGTGTGACTTGAAACGTTTCCCGTCCGCTGAGGGGAACGAAGTCGTGGGTTTAGACAACAAATACCAGAGAGTCACACGCCGTACAGCTTTATCACGCAAAACCAATTAAACACGCCGACTCGTCTGCACAGTTAACACATTGTCTGCCGTACAGTGAGGTTCTCAGCTCTATACAATTGGCCTCAGTGCATAAACTGAGCTTTTAAATGAAGTATTCATATTGGCCTGTCGTGTTTAAGGTGTCTGGCAGCAGTTCAGATTGAGATGCCAGTATGACTCATGGATTTCTGTATGATTCATACGTCCTTTGTGTACACACTCAGGAGAGGAAGATATGGAAAGGCTGAATTTTATATTTTAGGTTTTTGCCAGCAATATTACAATATTTGGGAAAAAAAACAAACATTTTCTCAGATAAACTCCTCCTAAATTAATCTACTTAATTAACGGGCATGATTGGGGTGGAACTAAGGCAGTAGTTCAGTGTTCTGGTTGGGCCTAAATGATATGGACAAAATACTATATTACAAAATTATTTCTAAATATTGCAACTGCAGTATACCTTCCAATATACTGAAGACACATTACTGAATTTTTGGCATAACATAGTTAAGGATTATCGTTTAGAGGGGGAAGGTATGAAATACATCAGTGTTCATTAACCCTTTTTCATAAAATCCTATTTACGCCTGTTTTGGAGGAATTTCAGTTCAACTATGCATTTCTTCCCCAGTAACTTTGACATTGTGTGTGATTTCCAAAACCAGAAGCAAACTGGATTTCATCTTTATAGGTAAATAAGCACTTCAGCATTTATTGAAGTGTAATTATTGTATTTAAATGGTTATTTTATTTTATTTTATTTTTATTTTATTGTAGCAGTTATGCAAGATTGTTTGATATAAAGTTGCGGTTGTACTGTCTGTTTTATCTCGACATGGTCATCTTTGTGGAGAGGTGTGGATTGTTTTGACAGCAGGGGGTTCTCACCCCTCCTCTTTCACCCCTCATTGCTCACTAGCAGCTCAACAACATTTCACACACAGAGAGACGACAGTGTCCTAGATCATCCATAATAGAGTTACGGGAAAAAAAATATAAATTAATAAAAAATTTCTAAGTCAGTTTCCATTCTGCTGGTGGAATAGCCACTAGGGGGCCTGCACAATATAGCGAGACTACTAGTATTGCAGTTATAGTGCAGGTATATTGCCACATTTTTTGCTTGCAATACTTACCGTAACGCATTACAACGCAAAGGTGAATCAATACCATGAATGATAACATCAAAACCTCTCGTCCAGAACTGTGATTGGTCAGGATGCTCACAGCACACAGTAAAAAATCAGTGGTTGTTTTTAGGACTCATTTGCATATCACAGCCTTCTGTGATATCAGAATTCCAAAAGCAAGCACTGCAATAAATGATATGTTGTGCAGCTGTGGTTTTCATTTTTTTTTGCCACTCCCCTTTACTGTCTGATACACCTCAGTTAATTGTCAACACTGCTTTGTTTAGGGTTAGCTTCACGTTTTGTTTTGTAGTCAAGGTAATGATAGAGGGAATAACAGGGGGCCCGTATCCTACAGTTTTTTTTTT